ACAACAACAACTACTACTGTACTACTACTACTACTACTACTACTCAGAATTAATAGATAGATCAAAGCAAACAAGAAAATGAACAGGCTAGAACAGGGGCCTTGCCTCGCGCTCCCAGGTCGAGGCAGTCTTTCTCCCGGCCGTGGGTGCCTTTGGGCACGGTTGCCGCCCAAGGCGCCTGTCAACTGCACTACAAACCGGGCCGGCCGGCTTGCACATGTCGATTGTCAGGTATCGGCTCCTCTCAAGTGACCAACTGGGCACTCTGAGGCTCACGGCGTTTTTCGAGCGAGAATACCTGACATCAAGATTGATTCAGGATGGAGTGTGTCCAGGTCCATACGGCTGTGAAGTAGGTTGCAGATTTCAGACGTTGGTTGCCGCTCACCGGTTGCATTTCGGGATGCCCTGCTTGTACAATGATACTTTGACCTGGGCGACCACTCAGCCTGCCCCTCGCCCCTTGCCGATTCAGTTTGCTAGCCGTTGGTCTCAGTCACATAGCCTCAGCCCAGTGGCTTAGTGGTTCGACGAAAGGCATGCTAGCTGGACGGCAGGGGCGCCCGCTCACTGAGACTCATACTTCCCCGAACCCCTCACTCCGGCCATGCCCTCTTTTCAGCCAAACTCTACACACTACACTAGCTTTTTTACGACGTCTAGACGAGTCGTTTCACGTGGGCACGAGCAGTCGTGCACACTGTCTTCACCAGCCCAGGGCAGCCTCTGCTCTGCCTGAGTGCGGACTCATCAGCATTGCTGTCGGACAGCTGTGGTCAGGTGTGCGCTGTGCTGGAAGGGTCAGCTGCTAGTTTGTAGACGTTGAGACTCCTGAGGTCGCCGGTTTTTGGTTCTGCAGTTCCCCCCCAGATAGCCCGGCCGGTCCAGCACGTAATTGCACGTCAGTCTGATCACCTGGACAGTGACAGTGATGCCGCCGATTTCGCCAACAGCATATTTGCAAAATCCGAGTGCCAGAAGCTCGCCTCAACGCGCCAGCCGGCGTTTGCAAGCCTCGTTCACATGTTAAGTGTGCTGAGTACATCATAAGTCTGCATCGCGCACGAAGGAGCTCTTTGGCTCAGACCTGTGGGCGTCAGGTGCCCGCGCACACCTCCTGTGCAATGCCGCAGCATCACCCGACACCTGGTGAGCTGCAGCCGACCCCGGACCATGAGCTGATAACCTGCCACACCACCTACAAGAAGGCTCAAACCGCTTCAGGTTCTAATGCTGCCACTATGCCAAGCGGGCGCAGTCTCGCCGAGAATATGCGTAGTGTTGGCTGTCGCGATTGCAGACCGGAGGCACCCAAGTGGTCCTTCCCGGGGAGGTTGTCAGGAGTTAAGCCATCAGGCACCGAGCCACAAGCTCAGCTTCTTCGCGAGACAGTGTAGCTACTGGTGACCGCGGTGCAAGGCCACGTAGACAGATGTAATCTGCCGAGGGTCGGTCATTATTCCTCCGACGACCCACATCGCAGCTGGTCTGCAACAAGTACCGAACGGCCTCCGAGACACTGTTGTCGGACCTGTCTGAGCCAGAAGTGCGAGGAGATATGTGCACCGTGAAGTTGGCTGGTCGCAGCTGCAGAGAGCTCAGGTGACATCAATGGCCGCTACAAACGTGACCAGCATGCAACTATTTGCAGGGCTTTGTGAATGATGTGGCATGGACAAGTTTTTCATCGTTTTGCAGTAGGCTATCTTACGAGCTCGTTGGTCTCGTTTCCCACTGGAGACTATTCAAGGTGCAGGCAAGTATTCTTCTTCTCACGTAGGAATGATTGCCATGAGGGCGATGCTAGTGAAAGTTGTGCTACCGCCACAGCTACTCCACAAAGCGGTCTACAGCTGTACGGTCGTGTTTAAGTTCTACTTTACCAACTCTCGGCCACAGTCTGGATTTGCTGTGTACGGGTTTCACGACGCCGGCCTTCATTCGGGAAGCATTGGTAATGCTGCGAGTAAGGGACGTACGAGAGGGCGTTGGGAGGGTTTGTCACGAGGTTTGTGAGTGAGGCAACAACTACAGCAATGCGTGTGTGGGGCTTATTCTACATGTCAGAGAGTACTTGAGCCCTGTTGCGGAGCAAGAAGTAAACTACCCTTATCGTACAGAAGCTACAGCCGAAGGGACCGGAGGGAATCCCAATTCGCAAGTAGCATTCGGTGCCTGTGCCTAAGGCGACCCTTCCTGGAGCATGCGCTCTCCGAAGGACAACAGGAGCTCCTCCCTTCCACCAGGTGCGAGTCCGTCCTGCGGCCTGTCCACATGCTTGCATGAGGCACGAAAGCGCATGGAAACCCGTGGCTAGAACATTGCAAGGGCTTGGCATTGCAAGGGCTTGGCATTGGTGCTTGGTTCTTTTCACGGTTGGTGTGTGCAACAGCGAGGCGGGCAGGAGCAGTATCATGCCAGTACAGGTGATCAAAAAGCTTCTCCTCACCGCAGCGTCGCACTCTTATTCACACAGGATTCCGGTGAAAAATCTCTGCCGTGAACAAGTGCATCCACAGATGCATTACTCATACTGGCCAACAGCATGTAGCATTGCACCCCGTCGAAGAGTTTCGGAGATGAGATGCAGGACGCTCGCTGCCTACCAGCATGAAGCAGCTGCTTTCTCCACACCAAGAGTTGCGACACTGTTGCAAAACAATTTTGGAGCCTCTGAGCATGAACTCGGGACTTTCATTCTTGCGAAATTCCGATCCAAAAATGTGCCAGGCTACCGTGAGAGAGATGTGTATATGTGAGTGTTGCTTGTATGGGGCAGGGATAGAATTACAATGGACATGCCAGCCACCACAGTTTGGTTGAGGAGTTCCCTGCTTCCGCGACATCGCCTGTAGTTGGAGTGCGGCGCGTACCCGCGCGTGTAGTTTCAGCCACTTTTGCAACTTTTTCGGGGTTTTGGGGGGTGGGGGGGGGCATAATCCCGTGCTGTGGACTTCTGCAAGCCCAAAACGCCCAAGCTCGACTCTTTCTCCCTCCAAACCCGAAGCATTGATTGACGCTCAAGACTCGGAACCTCCAGTCGTTGTTCACGGCACTGGTCTACAGAGTTTTGGCTTCAGCAGCTTTCAGCACGGCACGGGTTCAGTGCTCCACTTTTGCACTCTTCTGGTATTTGACGGAGCTGCGAGCTGCCAGACGACGAAAAGGCCACTTTCCGTAACAACTACTTCGTGCGAGCAAGTGCTCACACAACCTGCCCCCCAATGTAGGAAACAATTGCCCGATGTGCTGAAAACCCAGCCCTGCCCATGTTTTCTGCACGTCCATCACCCATTTCACGGCGAGCAAGTAGTCAAATAGCCTGCCCCCTAAAATAGGCCTGCCCAATGTAGGAAACAATTGCCCGATGTGCTGAAAACCCAACCCTGCCGATGTTTTCTGCACGTCCATCACCCATTTCACGGCGAGCAAGTAGTCAAATAGCCTGTCCCCTGAAATAGGCCCGCGTTGCCCGATGTGTTGAAAACCCACCCCTGCCGATGTTGTCTGCACGTCCGTTCTTTAGAACATGCCTTTTGTACCACGCGCGGGAATCAACCGCGAACCACGTAGTTAGGTTTGGATCTTCCCAAACGTTGAAAAGTTTTCGCCTCTCGAGCTCCGGGCGATTGAGTCGGTAGGAAAGCAACGCCTCCTCCTGGCCTTCTTTCTGTTCCGTTGCAAGCAGGGCTTGGTCCCAAGTTGCAGACGCCAGGGCCCGGACGATACAATTCTCGCGATGGTCCGTGACAGCCTTAGCTTCGGCACGCTCTATTCGATGTCTTGTTTGCGACGGCAGCGGCTGCACGCGACAGCATTTGTTGATGCCCAGTGCTGGCTCAACAGTGTCGTGCAGTCGAGGCTGCGCTTTACTGCTCCATCTTGGGGCTTCGGATCCAGTTCCAAGGAGGCGGAGCCAAGCCTTGTGGCGGTGGCGTCTTGCAGTGCCCATTTCAACTTCGCAGTTGCTTGCTTTCCATGTTGTGACCAGTACCTACTCTACGTCTCCGCTGTTGGAGTTTCTAAGTGCTGGCTCGTAGTCTTGGCTGGCACCGGATCCAGCGGTACCATACTCTCCTGCACTAGTGGGGACCGGGCTGGTCCGGCAAGTCTGTACCGGGGCTGTGCACAGCATTACACGTCTCGGCGACGGCGAGCCTGACGGTGACAGCCTTCACAAGAGCAAAATATCAAGATTGAGGGACATCTCCGAGTCAGGTCCAAGTAATGCAACCACCTGCCACTGCCTCCGCGCGCGAATCTGGAGGCGGAGAAGTGGATCCTGGATGGGTCTGTGGGGCCTGGGCCGGCAGCCTACGCACCCAACCATGGAGCCGGCAGCCAAGGTTGCAGTGCGGTTGCAGGTGAGTTCTGGGAGGTTAGCTCCGAGGATCCTATCGGAGTCCTATTCAGAAGGCAACTTTTCCAGAAGTGGGGTCGACCTGTGACACACGGGCACGCGAGCTCGTAGCTGGCACTTTGGTCTTGGAGCCTCCAGCCTGAAGCTGGGAGCAGCTCGGTTGTAGCAGTTCGTAGCTGGAGGGCCAGAGCAGACAGCGTAGGTGCCTTTTGGGCCCAGTACTACTGGCTCCGAGGTCGTTCAGAGGGGCTCGCCGGCCTACTCGACGGCCGGGCTCCGGACATTAGAACGGCTGAAGGCTAGCGAAGTCGACTTGCAAGTTTCCGTTGCAGGCTGGGCGGGGCAAGGACAAATCGCGTTCGATGGGACCTGGTGCCGGCCTTGGTTGGAAAAAGCACATGCCAATGCTCAGCGCTGCCCTTACAGATTCTCAGTGTTGAGGCCCCGGTCACTATGGCCCTCCGCGAAGCACATTGAGGGGCAAAGTCGGAAGGCCATTGGCCCACTCTTCTATCTTGTTGTGGAAGTAGCCGAGGGCCTCTTGTCGTCGCTGAAGGTGGGGCGATTCATCGAATTTGCGACCCAAGAGCGCTCCCTTCGACGACGGCAACGGCCGAAGTCCAGGCAGGCAACCCTCGCTCCTTCACCGAAGGGCGTTCGTGTTCGAGCAGTGCAGGCCCCAACTACATGCCTGGAGAGGGACCTCATGGACCGCGCTACAGCATCGGAGCTCGACGGGAGGCGGGGGCGGGAAGGGGCCAACACCACGCTGAATGCGCACGAAGCCTGTCACTGCGATGCACTGGCAGAAACCAGCCTTCCTTGCCTGAGGCTGCCAAGGTCATGCTGGGCAGGTTGCCAGGACCAAGGACTCAGTCGGTGACTGAATTGATTCCAGATTGTCCTATGTGCGAGAGAGAGAGAGAGAGAGAGAGAGCACCTGTCGGGGGCGCACCTGCGCGCGGTGTAGGGGGGAAACCCCCTGCACCACAGCCCTGGCGAAAGAAAGAAAGAGAGACTATGCGGATGATGTGAACCGGGGCAAAAGTGAAGAAGCAGCCGCCCAGGTTTGGCTACTGAGATTACCTGAAGTGTGCCGAGTTACAAATAGGAAGCCATCGAGACCTTTGATGTGCTGGAGTAATTCAGTTGCACCGAATTGGGAGTGGAAGCTTCTGACGGCACCAGTTTGGCGATGCGTCACGCGTAGCACGAGCACGCCCAAATGCAAGCCTCATGGTCTACATTGACCAAGGCGTGGCGAGCTCAAAGTTAGGCTAACTTGGGACTTCCTCTGGTGTTCTTGAGATGATAGCGAAAGCATAGGACGGCCCGTCCAGTGAAACTGATCGCGGCTGTCCGGTTTCATGAGCGACTGATCAGGAACGTGATTCACAAATTGCCCGGCACGTGCCTGGCGTTCTTATCGAGGTTGCAAGCGAGCTGTACTGCGTTGCTCTTCAATAATTAGATGGTGTCTGGGGATTAGAGTCGATTAGAGCGAATGAGACCATGAAAGCATCGAGCCAGCAGTAGCGAGAGCACTTTCGACATTCGGCCAGCAGAAGCACGACATAGCACAAACGGACACTGGAGCATCAGCAGAGCAACACGCATCGAAGAACCCAGCTGTAGATGGCGGTAATGGGTCCTGCCTCCCAATGTTCGATTTCGACGAGATTGAGGCGCTGCCATTGAACTCGGTAACTTAAAATTTCCCAGCCGAGGCTTTGAATTCCGAGTAATGGTTTTGGCGGATCCGCTGCATGCACAGTAGTCAGACTGCCATGCCCCTCAGCTTCACGGGTTCACGTTTCGCAAGTGCAGGTTTCGGTTTCAGGGCTCAGAATGGGAGCAAGTGTTGGAAAATGTGTCGGGGCCGGCAGGAGAAGCTGCAGCAGCAAGCAGCTGCTTCCAATCCTGCTGAGCCCTCAGTTAAAATCTGCAGCCCGCAGAAGCCGGTAATGCTTGTGGTGCGGCATGGTGCGGCCTAGCTTGTCCAGTCTTTTCTGTCTGTCGCACAAGTTGTTGAAGGCCCATGCCCCCTCCATTGATGGTGAGTGGGAGGACAATGATGGTACCGTGGCTTGCGGCCTAACACATGGTGTCGCAGACGTCATGGCACTGGAGAAGCTCATCGCAAGCTGGACCTTTCTTGAGGTCATCATCAAGAACCGACGCATCCGCGGCCCAGATGGAGTCGAAGTGGAGGCGACGTCGGGACAACAGACGCTATGGCTCCAAGCCGCACCCGACAAGGTGACTTTCCCTCGGCCGGATGCGGTCGTGTTCACGCCCAGCCCCGGCTTGTATGCTCAGCTTGCTGCATTGCATGACCCCGGCATGGAGTGCCAGCACAAGGCTTTCAATTTCAAAAGCAAACTCCGCATCCCTTGCAGTCCTGAGGTGCTCCGAGCTTTGAGGGCAAGCTTACGGCTTCCGACAGGATCACCTGGCGAACTCACCAAGCATCCAGTTCTGTGCGGACACCGCAGGATCTCCTGGGATGATGGTGCCTCCTGGGTGAGCGCCTTGCGAAGCCGTGGCCGATATTTGGAAGCGGTGGCCCGGCCCGAGCCGAGGTCAGACGGCCCTTGTCGGCCAAAGCGCAAACAGATCAAAACGGCAGCCGCTCGGCCTCTCCGACTCCAAAGACCAGAGGGCGGCATTGGTAGCTGTCTCCTTAGAGGTCGCGCAAATGCAGCATCCAACAAAGCCGCCGGAACTCCTGTGCACCAGCCGGAGCCTCACGCAGAAACCAGCCTCTGCTAAGTGCGGCAGTGTCCAAGTGTCGTGAACTGACTCGATCTCAGAACAAAGACTTTGGGCGAAAAGGAGAATCTGGCCACGAAGGCAGGGACGCGGCGCCTTCGGCCGGCAATCCCATTGGATCCCATGTTATGAACCTTTTGTGTCTGGCCTGTATCGGCATAGAGTATTCTCTGCTTTGCACAGCGCGAGGCGGCAGTTCCGGAGAAGCCAAACAGCAAGCTTCGTGACAGCCGTGGCCTCTGTGTGGCTTTCTCGTGGTGGCTCCATGCACACTCTAATGGGAGGCAGCAGCTCCGCTCCCCTACAAAGCAAGCTCCCGAGGCGAAGACGCCCCGCTCTGTAGTCTCTGACTTGCGCTGTGCCGTGGCAGGGCCGAGCCCTTGAAGTCCACTGCCCGGATCCCGCGGGCTTCGCATCTCAGACGCGGGGCTTTTGCGGAGCTGGCTCTGGAGTGAATCAAAGCGCGTGAGATTGCATGTGCAACAGGGAGTAGGGCGGAGAGGAAGCCTAACCCAACATAAACACCCCAACTTAGCTGTTACTGTTTGCAGCTTTAGACATTGTAGTTCAACGAGGTCGACGACTCAGCAGGCACAAGTAAGCCCTCTTCGGGCTACAGCTCTTCGCGGCCGCCCACGACAGACAAGAAGGCCAGCTGTTGCCAATTGACGGTTAGTTCAGTTAAGCCTGACAGGAAGGGGCGACGAATTGACTCCGACCTCAGTGTTTTCCATGCGAAGCCGTGAAACACCAACTCTAGTCGAAGACGTGGTGGTAGTCTCAGACAAGCATGCCCTGTGGCTCAAAAGCCTGTTGAACGTGGTACTCTGGGTTTCATGTTCTCCATCTGTTCCCAACTGTGCCAAATGAGACTCACCGACAAAGCTGGTTGCATAAGATATTCCTGGTCCTGCTTGGCTTCCATGATCTGCTATGGCTACCCGGCTTTGGATCGTTGTTTGCTTGCGAGAGGTCGCCACGAACAGCAGTGGCGAAGCTAGCCGCGATTCAGCTTGGCACTACGAGCGCTTCGAGGCAGATGGGCAGCCCGGCCGGCGTCCCTAAAGAGAGACCGCGGATCCTGACCGGCTGCAGGTGACGAAACCCATCGTCTTCGTCCGCGAAAGCCCAGGCCTGAACACGGCGAAGGTTGCCCAGGCCGGGGCCTGAGCTTCGCCCTTCTTGGCTGCAAGATGCGAATGGGTTCTGCAGGTGACACGAGGCATCCGCCTCAGACTTTCTGGAGCTTCCCTGTTTCACCTGTGTGCCGGTGTGATGGGTGTTGGAAGGCTGCGTTGTCTCCGGACGGGTGCAAGACACAGGGTGGCTCTGTCCAAGCCTTGTTCTTCTTCCGGTTGCGACTCGACATATCCGCTGATGACATGTCCTGCGAGGCTTGGATCAAGACAGCCGTGCATCCGCAAATGCCTGGAGCACACAGTGTTGTCGCTGGCAACGCCATGACACGAGTCGAGCACAGAACCATGAAAGCCACTCCTGCCTGTCCAGGTGCCGGAGCATGCCAAGGGCGCGTACATGCTCATTGATGGCAGAAATCATGGGTGCCTTGTCTGCACTTGGCAGTACAGTATTTGACGCAGTGATTTTCGTGTAGATCTGGACCAGGGATGACCAGCGCACAATCAGTGGAGGAATATGTGTTTTTCATCTTCTCTAAGCCAGTTTTTTTCGAGTTTCCGAGGAGGGAAGCGACTTTTGGTGTTGTTACTGCACGTTCCGTTTTCTGTCATTTTCTCCGGCGGACTTCCCATGCCCGGATGCAAAAAAGGGTTCACTGCATGAGGTCGCGGCTATAGATGTAACATGTCGACATCCGTCCTGAATGTAGCCTGACGGTGACAAGCAAGAAGTCGCGTCAGTGCTGTCTGATTACCATTAAGTGCGGGAGGGGCTTGAATCACGTTTGGAAGGAGGGTGCAGGGACAAAGGCCCACCCTGGGCCCTCCGGCCCTCCATTTCAAATTCGTCTCTAGATTTCCTTCATGGATGTCGGCTTTGGGCTGCAAATGTCCAAGCTGGTTCAATGCTACGCGTTTGTTCGATGAGAGACAGGATTGACTCTTGGTCGTAGGTGGCGCCCAGTAGCAACGGTAACGTTGCCGGCTCAGCCGAGGCTTGGCATACTCCTGGAGTCGCACAGGGCCCAGTCAAAAAGAGCATCTAAAGAGGGCTAAAAAGGGGCTTTCCGTTGATATCCTTAGCTTGAGCTTTGGGTGCTGAGGCGCGGCTGTCAAGGCAGCTCCAAGGGCTCCTTCGCTTCGCCCCTCGAGCTTCTGGCTCAGAATACTTACGCAGACATCAATGGAGGGTGTCCACAATTTTTTCCCATGGCCATCGGCACTCGGGAGGTTTCTTGCGTTGAGAAACCTCCAAGTGAGAGCCCGGCGGGGGGACTTGAGACGCCTGAGCCCGTCCTCCTGTGCTGGCCGCCCTGGCCTCGTGCCAAGGCCGAGCCTCAGTTCTCCTTCGACTGGGCATGTGGCTTGCCACTCAGGTCTTTGCAGCGGAATAAAATCTAGCAAAAAAGAACCATTGCAAGCTGCAAGGCTGAAGGCTCAAAGGTGCAGGGTTATCCTGGTGCCCCGGACCCGGTTTCGGTGGGCTCTACCGGAAAAAGGGGCTCTAGGACTCGCTGCTCCGAGGCTGAATCCTGGCTGGAGTTGGAGGGTGGTGGCTTCTTGCCGATCGTGCCCAGAGCCTCGGAGACGAAAGAGAGTCCTCCTTTCCTTGCAGCTGGCTGCCCAGGGACAAGACCGCCTCCGCCAATTCCGAAAGCCAGGACTCAATGCACGGAGAACGGGAGTTAACCTACCGGGCCCTAGTTGATCGACTTGTGCAGCTTCGGGCGCAGGGTTTGGCTGGAATTTGCGGGGCCCCCACTCTAAAGAGAAGCCACTGCAGCGGTAGTGGTGTCGCCCCGGCCAATCTCGAGAAATGAGAGTGGCGCTCTTCAAAAGATTCAGCTCTCTCTGGATGCAGTCTTGGAGCTCCGTCACGGGCCGCCCCGACACGACACCTTGACGCTGTTTTCGGCTGGCACGCAGGGTGTTGATGCTGCAGTTGTGATTTTGCTGCCAGGCCGGGTGGGCGAGTAGACGTGCCAGACACGCTTGCGACAGCTCTATGTGATACTCATTTGCGGGCCGCAACGGAGCTTCGTCAACACATGCCCTCAAGCAAGAATGGGCATGTCCTCGCACTGTTTCGCCTTTATTATTTCAGGCATTGTGGGCTGAGGATGGGTTTGCAGTGACTTGGGAGACCTTGCGAATTGGTGGGGGGAACGAAGTCTAAGTGTGCTGCGCAAGTCTCTGTGAATCGCATTCAGCCGCATGGGCCCGAACCCGGAGAGTCCTGCCGTTTGTGGCTGTATGAAGCAAATTCTGCTGCATGGAGGAAGTGGGACTGCAGTTCTGTGTCTCAAAAAATCGCATCTCGAAGCAGCACGATTGGCACTTTCCGATAAAACGTGAAAACTTGCTGTGGAAATGGCACGAAGACTACCCTACCCCCCAGGCCACGCGGTTCTTTTGCAAAAACAGATGCTTCGCTTCCGAGAAGTGGGTTTTAAGGCGGATCCCCTTCTGTTCAGCGCAGACGGATACTGCAAGTCGCTTTGAACGACCCGGTGTGTGGGAACATACGGCAAAGCCCAGAGAAGTAGTCCGCCGCTGGCGCCCTGAGCAAACAACCCATGCTCACCGGAGGGATCAGTCAGTGAGGCCAGATACATGACGAGCTGACAGGTCAGACCTTTCCAATCCTAAACACTTGAACAGTGTACAGCAACAGGACTCTCAGATAGCGCAGTGGTAAAGCGGGAGATGTCAGGATACGTCACTGACATACACACGTGAATTTGTTTGGGGGGGCTCTTCGTGCACAGGTGAGCTTTGGAGGGGTTGTTGCTACTGCAGGCAAGGTGCGATCTCATGTTGGGCTGAAAGCTTTTGAAGAGCAACCGCCCCGAATGCATCCTGGTCACAAGCTATCTGTGGCACCCTATGTATGCCTCGGCTTCAGGACTGCTTGCAGCTGCAGGGCGTCACTGACCCGATGCCCGAATACGGTGAGCTCGTCTGTGGCGCCTGAGACTTCAGGCGCTCCAAGCAGTGGTGCCACAGACATTTGCAGAGGCCGTCGTTGCCAGGCACCGGGTGGAGACTGTCTCGCTGGCTGTCTGCATCGAGTGTCGTGTACAGGTGGGAGCCGCTCCCGGCAGCTGCAGCAACACGAGTCGAGTACAGCCAGCTGACTCGAGACCGAGTAGCGATCGGTTTTCTCGGGTTTTTCTTTGCCACTTCCAAGGCCTGGAGTGGCAAGATGCCCAAGAGCCGGAACGCCATGGTCGTGTGCCACTCTCATCCTCAAAGCATGCTAGTAATGCTGGTAACTCGTAGTTTAGCGGTGGTGGTAACACGGATCTCCGAGATCACTGAAAGGTCAGCTTCTCCAGGAAGTGCCAGGCACATGTTCGGTCTCTCCCACCTTCCACAACGTGGGATCCAAAGTTGTGTTGCCGTGATCGGTTGAGTGGTCTCGCGGCACCAGATTACGCAACATGAGGATTCAGCTTCGAGTCGTGTCTCGAGTTTTTGCAGTCGGCTTACCAAACGGTGATTCAGCAAGTGAGAAATCGGGGGGCCATCGATGAAACCAAGGCCCCGCTTCCCGGAGGAAACCCGGGAGCCAAAGGCAAGGAGGACCCGGCGTCTCGGTCATGGCAGGACTGCTTGTACGGCAGATGCTACCCACGAGCACACCTAAGTCGCCTAAGGACCCCAAGACTACAAAGACCGCAGCTCTCGCAGCACGGAGAACTCTATTTATCAGCAAGTTAATAATGCCAGTACCAATGATCGTCTACATGGTGCGGCTAATACACACAAACGACCAGCACATGAAAGAAGAGCAGCAACTGGAATAAGCACAAGTCGCTGCCTGCGTGGTATGACAATCCTAAGGGGTTACGAGGTACTTCAGCGAGCAATCTTGCAGCCATGTCGTGCATGTCACTGACAGTCGCAGGATCATCGCCTCGTCGGTCGGTGGCTCTACGGTGCTGCAGTCTCAGACCTGCACGGATCTGGCTGGATGCGGAGGTAAGTCTAGAGCCTACAGTGTGACAGGTTCAGTCACTTTTCAGGTCACATGACTGTAAGGCTCGTAGAGGTAACAGCATGTACTGGCTGTTGTCGGAAGAAAACCATGAGTATGCCTGTGAGTTACGCCAGAGACCATTGCTAAGCCGCCCCGTGGCTGACGCTGACCTCAAGTGTCATAGGAATGAGATCACCGGTGCAGTTCCTCTGTACATACGACAGTCGTATGGCATCAGCAATGCTTGGCTGCGCAGAGGCCAAGCCCTCAGAGTACCGAATCGGACGCAGATCTGATGGCTTGCTAGTCTTCATGGGCCCAGTGCTCAGATGCTCTTGCTGGAATTTCCCAGCCCTGTGGCCCGTCTACGGTCAGATAAGGCCCCCACGCTTCGGGAGCCACTGTGTCAACGACTCGGCTTTTGATTTTGAGGGTTAGCCTGGACCCGTGAATGTTGTCTGGAGGATGGGCGTGCTGGAACCTGAAGGCCACTGGCTGCAGGCAGAGCTTGCCTCTGCCAGCGGCTGGGCTGCAAGCAATGCTTGTAGGGTTTGCGATCCAGTGGCACTTGCAGCCACACCAAACCCAAATCGATGCTGTTCGCCTGATGTGATCAAAAAAAGGTGGCGACACAGTGGGTCACATTCGCTTATTCTATGACGAGGAGGTCGCCGCCATGTTGTTCCACACCGCACGATGGTGAGAAACAGAGAATGATGGCGAGGCTTTAGGCAGGAAAGGTTGGGCATGGGCTGGTAAAACGATGAGACCTAGAAGCAGCGAGAAGACAGGGAAGGGCTGGAGACCACGGTCTAAGCTGCGGCGTGCTCTGCTTTGATGTGAGGGCCGTTGTAACTTATAACCCCGACGTGCTGACTGCTGAACATTTATTGGCTGCTCGAACTAGACCGTGAGATACACTCAAGTCTGCACTCACGGACGTGGGAATGAGCGGCTGGCAGAGTTGTGGCGAGAGTACGACAAGCTCGAGACGGCTCGGTGCGGCCTGCAGGAGGACGCTGTCATCTCCAACTTCAAGAACATCCAGAATGTGGATTGGGGACGCTCGGATCAACATGCTAGCAATGCGCGGGTATTCGCGGTGCATTGAATGGCTTCAGTGTGGCTGCAGGAAGAGACATTGCTGCGAAGAAGGCACTGCCAAGACCTGTGATGTGCCAGAAGCCAACAGCAATGCAAGCATGTTCAGGGTGGTGACGAAGAAATCTTGACCACGGTAGTCGGGCGGTCCTGCCGGCTGGATTGATGTCTTGTGTTGCGACATGCTGCTTTCAATCTGTCCAGGTGGGTGCAGGCACGGACAGCAGCTGCCATTACAGACCAGGACGAGGAGGAGAGTCCCAATCAGTCGATGAGCCGTTGTTCCTTGCACCTCCAGTGGCTGTGCCCATGCTTGTAGCAACGGGAATGGCAAGGAGTTCTGCTACGACTCCTTCTGCAACAAACGAGGCCCTATAACTGCTCGTATGAGATCGCGCCATATCGCACGGCTAAGCGGAGCCTGTCAGGCAAGTGTCAGAGATGCCCTTGCTCTCCACTTAGTTTGCAACTATTCTGTGTCGTGCGGGGGGTGGCCACAGCTGATGGTGTCGACGAGGTCAAATCTTCGTGCTGTCCGAGCACCTCATGAACCAAGAGTACTTGGCTTGGCTTGCTACCGAAGTCGGCAGCCCATGGATGCTGGCCCGAGGATGCTTTGCAGGCGGTGCGGCTGTGCTGCGATCCATCACGCCAGGGGCTTTCGGCTTGGCCCAATGCGAGGTGCGGCCGCACGGCCGCACCATTTCTGGCGCCAGGCCAAGGTCGGCAAGTTCCGGTTTCACGAGGGCCAGAAAGGCAAAGACTCGGAAGATCCCAGCCGGCCGCCGAGTCTGGCTTTGGTCGCTCGTTGCTTCTGCCGCAGCCATGAGGCACAGCAAGGCCCCCACAGAAAACGCTCGCGACCCAGACCTCCTGTCACTGCAGGCATCGTTGAAGAAGGCCCAGTAGGCTTGCACGCGGGCTCGGCCCAGGGCGATGGATGAAATACCAAGCCGAAGGTGGAGCCTGGATGATGCCCAATCCTTTGGGATTGAAATCGACGTCGTTTGTCTGTTGCGGCAGCGGCTCCTCCTAGAATCCTAGAAATCATGTCCGAGCCGGTGAGGCCACTGCGGGCGAGGAGATCGTTGAGTTCATCATCAGGACCCTAGCTTGGCTGAGCTCCCCCTCCTCTTCCTTGGGCTATCGCCGTCTTCTGTGGTCTGGCCTTGAGGCAGCTGGAGCTGGCCAAGAACCTCTACGAGGTTCTCGGGGTGGCTCCCAGTTCTTCGGCCCTGGAGATTCGCTGACGACTCAGATGTAACACGTAGTTTCAGAGACGGTAGTTCGGCCAGCAGCAAGTCGCGACAGCATATTCTTCTGGATGCGTGCGATCTCTCCAATTGAGGCCAGGCTTATCGGGCCATCTCGCTCAGGGCCTGTGCCCCAGATGCCATCGCGATGTAAGCAAGCCGTGAACAAATCATCGCGGGCATCCAAAAAAGGTGCATCCGGACAAGATCAATGCCAATGCGGCGCATGCGCAGAGCGAAGACGAGCCCATGGCCGAGCCTGTGTTCAGTACCGCGGCCAGCGAGGTCTGGCGGTTGCGCGACGCGACAGCCCATGCAGTCGTCGTAAGGAGCCTGAGCTTGTCAGCCCTTGCAGAAGACGCATTCAAACTGGCCGCGACCTCAGCAACGCAGTTCCTTTCTCTTTCGGTCTTCCAGAGGGGTCCAGTGGTCAGCCAGTTTTGGTATGATTCTCAAGCCAAAGGCAAGAGAACGAGCAGTGTTTGTCACCGTGATGACTAGAACACCCGTAAGAGTACAGGCGCAGTGCTGGAAGCGGTTTTGTTTACGCGCGAGTGGACGATGAAACGAATCGATTAGCTTGGCAAACCGACCTTCGGCCTTTTGCGACCCCCGGAACTCATGAAATTATCAATCCGATTCGCTTGGCGGCAGCACGATATCCATTACCTATGCTGGGCTGGAGGGGTTGCCGGGTGTGCTGAGACATTGCCGCCAGTATTGTGGTCGACAAAGACTGTCTGTGGTGACTTGCGAGCCAGACTGCAGGCGTCCTCGGCCTACGAAGTGCTGAATGATGAGATCGAGCGAAGATCGTACGTCCATTACTCAGTGATTTGGAGTCGCAAGGATGCCAGCATCTCACCTTGCACGACATTATGTGATGCGCTGCCTGAGGATCGACAGCTGTACTTGGACTGGGTGCGAACGGAGAAAGCAAAGGCAAAGCCGAAACCGAAGCCAAAGGCAAGGCATGCGGCAAATGTGCTCGGGGCCCAGTTGCTGATGCGGCAGAAGGGGTTGCAGTTGCAGCTGGCCTGTTGCAGTCCTTATGAGCACCCATGCCGAGCAACTTGTGCAGGATGACACTAGCATCGCCCCAGCCCAAGCAAAAGCCCAAGCCCTTGCCAGGCCCACTGCTGTTTGCAAGAAGCTTCGGCCCTCAGCTTCCGCTTCTGCCAAGTGCCAAAAACCATCTGAGTCTCTCTGGCCGGGAGCTGCTCCGTCAGAGCTTGGGCAGAACACACAATTTTATAGCAAGGTGCCTGCAACACGCTCCTGAACTGAACGTGGGACGCGGGTAGACGAAAGCTCTCCAAAGCACGAGTCTGGATTTTGTACGGCTGAAGTGCGACACGGCTGAGGCCTCAGCCTACGGCTCCGGCCAAGGGCCCTTGGGCTCCCGCCTGAGTCAAGGGTATCAGTGTCAGCACTGGCGAGGCTATGGCCCGGGCCTTTGGCCTTTTTGGTCGCTGCTAGAGTGGTTCACTCCTGACGTTTGCACTCGAGGCTCCTAGTCAGCAAGGTAGTGTTTCGTTTGGCACGGGCTGGTAGTCGTAACGTCTCGTGGGTCACGGCGTGCTACTGGTTTCGAAGCTTGGGGGCCGCAGGCCGGAACATGGCATGTCTGAAATGAGCGAATTGGATGCTAGCACGCCGACGGACTCCAGGGGCAAAGTTGATGTCTAAGATCATGTAAGATCCGAGAGTACAGGATGTTGCATCAAGAAACTGTGTATGCGGCATGACATGTCACTGTACAATCTTTGTTGGTTGTGCTCCATGTTCTCAGAGATTGTAACTTGGTCCTTGTGCGACTGCAGCCACTGAAAGCACTGTTCCGGCACGGACATGGGGATACTGCAATGAACGCATGGCGCCGGGGCGGCTTGGTTTGCCTGCAGCTGTGCGCCTTCGGCTTGGGAAGCAGTCTTGCGCTGGAACCAAGCGGCTATGCGCAGCCGGAGCTGTTGCGAACACCGTTGCTCACAATTCCCGGACCCTGCAAGTAGAGCGTTCAGCGTTCATCACAGTCGAGCAGAGGATTGGAGCTTCGAGCATTCGGTACTAGATTTCCGGAGCTTGGACCACAAGAGTGCCGACGAACACCAGTTCTGGAGTTTGGAGCAGAGATAAATCTTGTCACTTTTCTTGCCCGAGACCTGTAAAGCACGGCTCATAGTGTCACCTCCCTGAACACGCGAAGCCATGCCCTACAATGGCCGTCGCCGTAGTAGCGGCATCGCAAGCTGTTGAAGTTCACGTAGGGTTTCATGTCCGAACTTCGCAGGACGCCAGCTGGCCCTCCTCCTGGGCAAGACCTCCCTGGCCCGGAAGGATGCAGAGCCACTTCTGGCGAGCCGGACATGGGAGGTCCTCGCCAAGTTATCTGTAAGCTCTACCTGCACGCATGTATAGTGATATGAAGATAGGCATCTACGAGCTACAACTTTCATAAAAGCAGAGAGGGGCAAGGACATGTGAAGACACTCACACGCCAGCGGGCACAGACGCGCGTGTAATGCGTGTACATGTATGCCGCATGCCTAGATACACCCTGTCTCTGTGTGTGAGTGCGTGCATGTGTGCGTGTCCATGTGGATGCACACAGACCCGAAACCCCCAGACGAAGGTACCTGGTATCAGAGCCTCAACTTACGGTACATGCGTGCATATATGCGCATGTGATCGCATGCGCGCATGCGCGTCACTGGTATTTGTGTCCACATGGACAGCCTGCAAGGCCGTGCGCGAGGGACGTGACCCTTTCCAGCCGGAAGGCTCCTCAAAGCGCTTGCAGCGGATGCTCGCTGAGCTTGCCCTGACCATGGAGCCAGTGGCAGCGCCCCATGTGGAGAGCACGGAGAACAGCGACAGCACCTGTAAAATGCTCCTTCGCCTTGAAGATGATCTGTCAGTTGAGTGCGTCCTCATACGTATGGCCAAGCATTCCAGTCTCTGTGTCTCGAGCCAGGTAGGCTGCAAGCAGGCATGCGTATTCTGTGCAACAGGTAAGCTTGGCGAGGTTCGCAATCTAACCACGCACGAAATCCTCGCACAAGTTTGGCTGGCCCAGCGTCAGGCCCGGGCCCTCGACTGGCCGAAAGTACGAAATCTTGTGTTCATGGGCATGGGCGAGCCTGCCAACAACTTGGATTCAGTGTCTAAAGCGCTCGACCTACTCACTGACAACACCAGCTTTCACATGTCGCGTTGGTACATCACAGTATCGACGGTTGCGCCTTCTCCGGCCCAGATTCTGAGTCTCTCTGAGCTGCCGTGCAAGTTGGCATGGTCGGTGCATGCAGCAACGGACGTATTGCGCCGTAAACTGGTGCCAAGCAGCAAGTATCCGCTGGCTGATCTGAGAGATGCCTTCTTGAAGTGCTTGCTGCTACGTCCGGAGAGGTTCAGACAACTGATTTGTGAAGTCGTGCTGCTGGACGAGGTCAACACCGATCAAGGCCATGCCAAAGCACTTTCGGAACTACTGTCCCCTTTTGAAAGGGAAGAACTGCTCGTGAATTTGATCCCCTACAACGACATTCATGGACTGGTAGCACGTGGTGCCGCAATGGGTTTGCAGACTGCGCAGCTCAGGGCGCCGACTCTGGACACTGTCCGCAGCTTTCAGCGCTCGCTTTGGCAGAATGGTCTGTACTGCTCAGTTCGACAAACCCGCGGAGAATCCAAAGCCTCAGCTTGCGGTCAGCTGGCTACCGTTGCCGGGCTTGCAGCACTTACGAGCGCAAAATACAGCAGATGCTGAATTCTAGGGACTTTAGGGTGTCAGACCGTTCCGCTTAGACTGCCCTTCCGACTTCGGAAGCCTAGGACACTGAAGGCGAAGACGGCAAAGATCCAGGCCACAGGGTTGCCGATCGAAGAACATCCCGCGCGCTTGTGCAGGAGACTTGCTGAACATCGATTGTTTGCTGCCTGTGCATCTCAGTAGCGAATCTTCTCAGACTGAACATATCCATCAATCCACAGCATTCCGCAGCTACCGAATCCGAACTGGATCCCAAAAGACAAGCATCGTGCAAGACGCAGCAACATCAGGTGTCGCTGGAAGCTTCAGTTTGCGATGGAGCTTACCTTTGGATCGGTTTCGATTCTGTTTTGATTGTCGTGGAGTCATGGAAGTTCTTTTCGGGAAAGGTCTACTGGACGACGTATGCTTGTGTCTGCATAGAGTGAGTTCCGGGGCAAAGAAACTGTAATGGAGTCCGCCGTGCAGGCAGGCGGGTGGATGAGTTCTTCAAGCCGTCTCCTCATTTGTTGTTGTGTGTGAGGTTTCAGGCAGCTGTGCTAGAACTGGCCGGGAATGCGAATGGCTATTGTCACAACCGTTTGAGGAATCCGACCATTGGTACCTTCATGAACTCTCCCTACTACGGTGAGGACGGCGTGTGCTCGTCTTAAGCCTCCTGGAAGTCATCCCATGCGCTGAAAGCCTGACTGCCTGATCGGCCGCACAAGGTTTGGTAGCAGCGGGACGATCAAAGAGAATCCTGCGGGCGGGTTCAGCTTTGAGCTTCCCGGTGGCGGTGGTATTCACATTGACAACGGAAACGGCGCCTTGTCTGCATGTTCCTTTGCCAATTGCTGACGGTCTGCTGAGCGAAAAAGGGCCGTCTAGTGCATCAGCTTGCGCCAAGGCTATCAGCGACGCCTTGGTCTCAGCTTCCAAGCAACCGCGTGGTGCCTGCAGTACCAGAGTGTGCGTGCCAGATGCTTGCCTCACCTAGTCAAGCAGATGGAGGAGGACTTTGCAAAGACCGGCCATGTCCCGCTGCGCCCTCGGAAGACGGGCTCGGCGATCGGCAAGTCACGCACCATGAAACGGGCTGTACGGGCCTAGCCACTTCAGCAATGTACAACTACCATCCACCGCGTTCCCAAAATGAGCAACCAATGTTGACGAAATCGTGCCAAAAGCCAGCGAATCCCGGTGCGACTTGGTCAGCTGGGCGGGTGGGAAAAACGAGTTCATTAGGTCAGAGGTTGGAGTCTGTGAAAGACCTCAACTTGCTTCCCGGATAGTCTTCTACCTCGGAGTCAACCACTGCCTTCAAGCTGGAGTATGGCTGTCCTCCGAAAAGCCACCAAGCAATGTATAGTTAGCCACATGAAGCTGCTCCGCCGAACTCAACCGTTCTTTCCGACTGTACCCTGCAATGCGGCCTTGTCCTAGCTAGGTGGGAGGCAAAAAATTAGGTCAGAGCTCCGGGTCCAAAAGGTTCAAAGTCTTGATTTGATTGCTTTGGATCAATGACCGGATGGCATAGCTAAGAAGATGTAACGAACATCTTCCAGGGCGTGTGCAACCGGTAAAGTTGCTGCGTGCCGGAGCAGTGCGTGTATGTTTTGTTGCAGGCCACATCTTTGGCCGCAGTCACTTCTTCCCCAGGCGGAAGGGTGCACCGCAGAGAGAAGCTGCAGATTCAGAAAGTACGTGCAAGCAATCGGTCAGGTTTTTTGCACACCTGCCTTTTTCAGTCAAGAACACCTGTGGAGCAGCACAGGCTGCTCAGGAATCCTCGGAGGTTCCGCTTCGGCATGGAAGTTCTACATTTCTGCATCCTCCCAGCCATGCCACCTTACCGGCGACCACATTCAGCCAACCAACTCCATTTCCACGATGAGTCCTGGACCTTAAGATACATTCGAGATTTCTCAGCAGAGTCGTTTCACCCGTCAGCAAGTAGTTGCCATGTCGTGGCTGGGGCGCGGCCGCCCACCACGAAAGTCCGTGGGTGGTCACGAGAACTCCCTGCGAGATGCCATGAGGCTGGCCGCGAGTGTGGTTCTTTCTCACCGGTCCGTTGCTGCAGTTGTTCGAGAAAATCTTCTGAGTCGAGCTAGGGAGGTCCAGATTGCTGTGACCAACCAGATCTCAATACCGTGCGATGCCGTTGGCACACGACATCATGCGAGTAGTTTAGCCGTCTCATGTCAGCCGCTGCTGCCGGGATTTCGCTGTCCCTGCTGGTAGGTCTCGTGGTGGAATTACAATCAGGCCTCCGACTGCACCCACTGACATCGAGGACATTTAGCGCTTCGTCGAGTGGGAGTGTGACGCTGTTGTCACGGTTCACGGTTTCTGCCTTGTGAGGATAATGAACCAGTGCCAGAGAAAAGCACGTTGGACTGGCTCAATCTCAATGCGCTTGCGCCCAAAGCCATCCAGGGAGCAATTGACAGAATTCGGCACAACACCCTGGCAAGCAGTGGCGATGCCGAGGTGCCCAAGCACGTTGAATCCGGTGTGGCATGTTTTTGGGCAAGCCGGCCTGTGTGTCTTGCTCGGCGCAGCATAGGTCCCGAAAGAGATGGACGGGGAGTTGCTGACATCTCCCCGTGGCAAGGGCAGTGATCAGTCGGCCGGTCTCTTGGCGCGTGTTGGCCGATAATCGCTTAAAGCAGCAGAGGCTGCATATTGCACAAAACATGCATGTGGAAGAAGCTGAGTGCTAGTACTGGTTTTCGGCATCAGGTTCCATGGGCTATGCCCGGCCCGCGCGCAAGTCCCTCAGCTCGGCCCTTCGGGCTCGTGGTGGCATCTCCCGTGGAGTGGCCGGGACGGAGCCTGACCCGGCCGAAGGGCCCACCGACGCAGAAGCGCCGGACGTGCCCCGGGCGTCCTCGCCGGGGGAAGTTGAACTTGATGAGGCCGAGGCCGCACCGGTTGAAGCCTCAGCGCCCGTGCCGGAGGAGGCGGAGGCAGTGCCGGAAAAACCGCAGCCTCCGGAAAGTCCTGAGGCTGCATTCGCACAGCCTACCGCAGACCGAACCGCATCAGCGCCCCTCCCCGTCTTGCACGAGGAAGAGGAGGAGGAATCGACTATAGCTGCAGCAATGCCAGCGCAAGTGGAGCAGCCTGATGAACGGGCTGCCCCAGATGCGCTTCATGGACTTGAAGAGGCTGAGGAACTCCCGAACAGGGAGGAACTCCCGGACAGGCAGGAAGTGCCAGCGGAGTTTCTGGACTTAACACGATTTGCAGCATTTGTTTTTTCCTCTGTCTCTCTCTCTCTCTCCCTCTCTCTTTCTCCCTCTCTCTTTCCCCATCTCTCTCTATCTCTGTCTCTCTCTCTCTCTCTGTATCTCTCTCTCTCTCCCTATCTCTCTGTCTGTCTCTCTCTCTCTCTCTTTGTCTCTCTCTTCCTGTCTCTCTCCTTGAAGTTATGCTGCAACTGCAAAGGGCATCAGCTTTAAGCAACTGCGATGCATGTGTCCTCCAACCGTGGATCGCCTTGTTCCAACTGAGGCTGGAAGAGTCTGACGAAGCAGAGCAAGTTCAGACAGATTCAGTCCCTGAGCAGGACAGTCAGGTCACGCTTAATTTCTGACCCTTAACGCCAACTGTGCAAAGTGACAGTGGGTGCATTGCTCGCATCTCCTGAAGAACAGAGCGGCTCGATGGCAGGACCATGCCACAGACTCGGAACTGAGGAAGCCAAAGGACTGGGAGGCCTGCGGCCTGGGACGCGAAAGCTCCGCCCCTCTCCAATGTTGTTGTCGCTGTTGTTATAAGCTGTTAGTGTGAGCCACTGCCGCAGTGATGCTCTTCCTTGGCTGGCTGTCGCGGTCGTGGTTGTGGTTGTCTCGTTGTGGTCCATGCAGGCTGTCCGCCTTATCTAGTGCCTGTCACGTCTGTCTTATTGTCTAAGTCCACCGCTTTAGCACGGTCGCCTGGCATTTTCCTCGGCTGCTTGGTCCCTCCAACACTGGCGTCCTTTTTGGATTTCTTCAAGAACTTCTGCAGTCCTGGCCGCATCAGCCTCTAGAAGTCAGTTAAGCAATCCCCTGGCCGACCGTGCCATCCCAACAGCACCCCCCAGCGGAAGAACTTCTGGTCGTAGCCACGCAGCCCATGTCTCAGGAGCCCACAACCAGGCTCCCGATGCCGACGCCCCTCATGGCGGCCACCGCCTCGGCTCGACGCGCAGCGCCCCCTTCGGTGGAGGCCCCAAAGATGGAGGAGGCCGACTGGGGGGCCGCGTCACATGTGCTTTTGATTACTTTTGCAGGCCTGTCGTGTTGTCCAGGCGCAAGAGCCAGCAGGCAAACCCTTGCTCGCGCCGGAGCCGCATCTGCGAGTCCAGACTCGAGATGTGGGGAAGCTCAAGGAGGGTGGGTTAATGGCGGACCTTTGTATTTCTTGTCAAGTTTAGAAACTCATGAATCATGAATCCATGATGTCCGAGCCTTGCAGAAAGCTCGCCCAAGGTACGGAGAAGACTGTTTGATGAGTAGCTGTGTACCTCTGCTTTCTTGCCATTTGGATGTTGCTGTGCTGCATGCAGGAACTGCGGGAGTTCTGGGGGAACAAGAGCTCCAAAGGTTTTGCAGGTCCTGGTCTAACTGGATCCAGGTCGGGTTCTCAGCCCCGTTTCGACCATGCATGCGGGATATGCCGCCTCCTTGCCATGTTTGCACCTCGCTACTTGGAGCTCCAGTGCTGCAACTTCGCATGCACGCCCATTTTGAAGGCTCTCGAAAAACGAAGCCCAAGCGACCTTGCAAAGACTCCTCATCGCAGGCGGGCGGCGAGGTCTAGTGTCTTTAGTCGAAGCCCGACTTCGTTGCCAAAAGCTAGTTCAGGGTAAGAAAGCGACGACACACGCTTCCTCGCTGGAGATCCGTCCACCCGTGTGAGGTGGAGATTTCGATGAGGTTCGAAAGCTTCGAAAGATTATTGCTGAGTTGGATTCATAATGCTACTTGGCTTCTCCCCCTCTTCCCCTCCCTCCTTGTTCTGGCCGCGTGGATGTCAAGTAAAGGAAGTGTTCGTGAAGCCAGCTTTGCCAGGTCCGGTTCTTCAACCTCAGCCACTCTTGGTCATCGCAGCTACGTGGGCCCTTGGACGAGAACGGCTTGCTCATGTCAAAACATGCAAGCGGACTTTTCCAAAGGTTGTCTGTGTAGTCAATGTGAACGTAGTACGCCTCGGCCTGTCTTTTGATCAGCTAGCTGCTGGCTGGCGTAGTCTGCGGCCATCTCTGGCCACCAGGTGTCATCAGCAGAATGTATACTCTCACAATTGGTCTTCTCAAGGACAGCGGCCAGGTTGCCGTTTAGATGTTCAAGGAATGAGCGAAGCGGTCAAACGACCAGTTCGGTGGTTTTGTCTCCAATTCAATGCACGTGCTTCAGGCATGTGGAGGCTCTGTGGAGGCTGTTCTCGTAGCATCGCAGCTGGATCAACAGGTCCATTCAAGCACTTCCGGATCGCTCCCTGCAGACACTCATGCCTGAGCTCAGTAGCTTCTCCATCTCGGCACAATGGCGCTTTCGACTTCAGAAAAGCTCGCAGCTCGCACGTTTCGTGGGACAGCGGCACAAACAGCGCGCGCATGTACATGCAGCAGGGCAATGCCTTCTCGGTGAACGCCGGCCCTGCCTGGGCCAGCTCCTCAGCGAGCGGCGGCGGAAGCGTCACGCGCTCCTAAGAAGGTCTTTGAAGCGCCTGCAAGTCCACCGGGGTCTTCTTGTGTCTTCTGTGCAGGCCGGGATGCAGGCACATGCTGCCGCAGGTCCTAGGCGCGTCTGATTCGGTGGTGCGGGGCTTTGTGGGAGAGTGGTGTTCGACATGCTGATGACATGCAGGCAGCACGGCTTGGAGTCCCAAGCAGGCCTTCCGTGAGTCAACCTCGCGGTAAGAACTCCCGTATGTAGCAAGCTGTGTCTCACTCTGCAAGATATGATTGGCAGCACGCCAAGATGTGCCAGAGCATGTCAACAGAATGTGTCAGGCATGGCTGGATTCCCAGGTGTCGGCATGCTTGACTCTCAGGGAAAAACATGCGCAGCAGTAGGCAGAGGTCTTCATCTCACTTGTCCTCACGTTTCGCTTCTTTCATCGGCAGCATGTGGCAGTTTTCTCGCAATTTTCCAAGCCTTTCTCGTAGTTTCGGATTGGTACCTGTTTGTTGCCAGGCCATTTCGTCCGATGGGTACAGCAAGCTCCGGGATAAGCCCCGTTCCCATGCTGCTAAGAAGCAATGGGGAAAGCATTGACGTGCTGTGTTGTAGTCACAAGCGCCGCAGAATCGCGGTTGCTACCATTCAAGGCTTTGTCTATAAAGTCATAAATTTCAGGTCTGCGCTCAGCTGTTGTTGTTTTGGATGTTGAGGTGTCCACGCGGTTCACCCGAGGTTTCAGCCGCCAGGTCCGCCAGGTCCAGGCCCACACTCCAGCGACGCTCAGTGCCCTTATGTCCGTAGACTCTTTGGGCAAGCTCTGAGGACTAGAACGGTCTCGCGGGGTTCGCCAGTGATGAATTTCCTTTGTGTCTTTGGGCTCGGGAGTTCGATCCCTCAAACTGCTTTGTGCCGACAGGAAAGAAGTGAAGGATGCCAGCCGATGAATCTCGGCAAGAGTTTCAACGTAGGTAGGTTAGGTAGATTTAGGTTTTGTAGCGTCTCGCCTAGAAGGCAATGCCTTCAGACTCTCCGGCGCGATTCGACAGAACAGCATGTGGCAACGCTTCCAATTCAGGATGTGGCTCGTAACTTGCATGATCTACGAATGGAATCGAATGGATAGATATCGCATGATCTGTCTGGGCGTCTGCTGCTGCTGTCTCAAAATGCCGGTTCAGGGAGGGCAACATGACGTGTGCATGGACGGCACCCGCAGAAGTATTGGGGAATTCGCGCCGTGCAACAGCATACCCTAGTGTTCAAAATGTTTTAGTTGCATGGTACCTACACGCCGGACAGAACAGCATATCAGCCAAGCTGAACAACAGCAAGTGATATCACCCAGCCAGAGAGCCGTAGCTTCTTTAATTACTTCAGTCGCGACCTGGCTGTCAAAGGAGAAGGCCTGAGCCTCTCAGCGATGATTGCTACGTGCTGTTTAGAATTGCTGTGACTGAGTGTATGAATGCAGGCTGGAAGTTTGCATGCATGTACTTACTGTAGATAGCATGATGTATACTTTTAATATCCAGATGTACACATATACCACAGAACCCATACCCCCTTGCACATGTACACACCGTGCGCGCACACTCATCACACATGCTTTCAGCTATTATGCACTTCCCGCATCTGACTCTCACGATCTTGCGCGTATGCATGCACTCCGTCTCTATACACGAAAGAACACGCAGAGAGCGCACAAAGCTGGCATTGCACGTCCGCAAAAGCGAAGGCACAAATAGAGACACGCACGCAACACGGAACCCGCGAGGCACATGAGTTCTGAGGGAGCACCAGAAACACAAGCAGCGTAAAACGCAGCATTGAGTTGGCAAGAGAGAGGCGGAGCCCTGCAGCACCTTTCATTGTCCTTCTGAAAGAGCGACTGGCGTCCGACTGCAGAAAGTGCCGATTCCTTCTTGCGGGGGATCGGGCGCGCTTGCCATAAACCTATTTCCATGCAGCAATTGAACCATCGAAGGCAAGAAATATAGTAGTCGCGATGCACCGTCTTCTTCATTGTGCAGACCCTGTATCATGTCTCTTGCTGAGCTCTCTTTGTGGACAGAGACGACAAGAGAAACCAGGGGCAGTGATTCTCCATGAGGCGGGCATGAGGGCACGTGCACTGCAGCCCCTCCTCCAAAAAAAGTGATTCTCCAAACGTCTCCAAGCACCAGGTGTGGGGCCAATTAGTACTTCTTGAAGATATGAACTGAACAAGTGCAGTGAAAGGAGTCCAGGAACAAGGGCGACAATGCCCTTGGCATTCTTGAAGCATCTGTGCTAGATCGCTGCTTCCAAACTATTCTTGTGCCGTTGCTGAAGCCAACGCACGGGCCACTCGAAAGGCGGAGTCCGTATCATCACAAGAGCAGTTCTCTCTACATGAGTTTCTCGAATCCCCGCTTGTTCCAAGGGGCCATGGGCCCCTACGGCCGCCGACACGCCGACGACAGCTGGATGCTGAGTGGGTTTTGTAGGCATGTGCAACTTAGGACTCCTCAACAACATGAGAGTCCAAACACGCACGCGGCGGAGCTTCTGCCGTGGTCGCCACAATCCAACATCTTCCATCGATGTGGGGTTTGTGGACAGTCATGCGAAGTCTGCGATCGTCACTGCACTGAAAGTGGTGGTGCTTTTCGGAGAGCGACGAGTGTCCCGGGACAGCAGAAGCTTCGTGGCTTCCAGAATGCAGTCTCTCTGCCGCCAGGGTTGGTCAGGAGTTTACATGTTCTGTGTGGTGCAGCGCGTGCAGCGAGCACTTTGGCTCGGACTAGGAAGCCCCCATGGTTTCCATGAGTCGGGAAGGAACATCGTGTGCTTCTGAGGAGGCCGGCAAACCTTGCGGGGCTCTTCCCGGAGAGCAAACTCTTCACCGGAGGCGTGAAACTTCGTGCGAGAGATTTGAGCTCTGTACAAGGTATTGTCCTTGGGCACATGCCCTTGTGTGTGTGTGCGCGCGTGTGTGTGTGTGCAAACGTGTGCGAGCATAGAAGTTCTGGAGCGGAGCTGTCTGACCTCTGAGAAGCTTCGTGCAGGCTTCTCGGCCAGAGGATCGAGAACGGCGGCCAACTCCTGCTCAGGCCTCCTCGTCTGCCCAAGGCCTCGAAGTCGCCGTCTTAGCGTCCAGCAGGCCAGAGTCAGCAGGGAGGACTCCTGGAGGCGTGGTGATGCAGCCGGTACCTGAGACATCTTGAGAAAGCAGAATGAAAGCAGAGATCTGCGTTTGCTGCGTTTCCCTATTTTTGCCTGTGAGCGTCGAAACCATTCAGTCGTGGCGTGGCCGGGAAGACTTCGACGAGCGAGGCCGCAACGGACTTCGATTGGGGCTCGCTCAGCATGTCAAGTGCATTGAGAGCCATGGAGGCCAATCCATACGGCTACACCCAAGCGAGAGCCAGCCTCCTGGAATGTTGAAAGCAGAATTCATGGCACCTGTTGTGGAGTTAGCACTTCAACCCCTTCAAACCGTACGTACGTCTTGCTTGCCAGGTAAGTGGTACGACTCTGATGGCTGGTACGATCGCGAAGACAGCAGGCCCTCAGCAGTGGAACGGTGTGGGGCAAAGGTGCAAGCATGCCTGGTAGCGCAGCAGTCGTAGGCATCATTTGCCGTTGCCGCAAGCAGTCGGGAATCTGCGCGTGACAAGTTCAGCTTGGGAGACAACAGCGTGCAGACGTTCCCCCTAAAGCACAGCAAGACAATGGCTATGGCCCAATCCAAGCTCACGCGAGCATTCGCGGTGGACACATCGTGGCGAAAATAATGGAACAGATATGTGGACGGCATCCATGGTTTTCTTGCGTATTGAACCCATACATTCCGCCCACGTTTCCGAACATGAGAGTTCTAAACACTCACGAAATTGATGTGCGTGACTCGTCTGCACCGGAGGAAAGCCACAGGTTCGAAAGGCAAGAGTTCAAGGACCATCGCCGAATCTCCAGATTCCTTCGGAGACCGCGTCGCACGCTCGATATATGACCCCGTGATCGACGCCAGCAGCTCCAGCAAGGCAGCAGCCGATACCAGCGAGACACTGGCGAGCCAGATGTCGCTGAGCTCCGAGGGTGGGACTGTGAGGACGGCTCCGGACTGTACCCGGAAACTCTGCAATCCTCGCCAGCGTGGCTGTCATAGTCGTGCCTATCAGTTGCGGGGGCGTGGAAGCCTAGCTAGGCTCTATGGCTAGACTGCTAAACTTCAGCGGAAAACTTGATGATTCCCGTGGACTGTCATCGAAATCGTTATGCAGTTTTGCAGCTGCGGCAACAACGCTGGTGGAGTTGTGGTGAAGATGGTCACGATCATGCTTAATGTTTCTGCTGGTGATGTCGAGGGTAGTGATGTAGATTGTGACACTTGCACACATCAACATAGTCACCGTGGCTTACTGAAGTTCGTCTACTCGAACAGTATATTCTGGCTCTAGCATCGTTCGGCTGATCGGGTTCTGTAGTTGAAGCTTCGCAGAGTTGGGCCGTAACCTCCCTGTTTCATGGCTTGCTTCTTTGGGTGTTTACTGGTCTTCATCGTGACTCATCGTGCTTGCTGTTGCTGTCGTCGTTGTTGTTGCTGTCGTGGTGCAGCAGCCGAAGCGGCAGCGGCAGACGACGACGACGACAACAACAACATCAACAACAACAGCAACTCAGCAACAGCACCAGCAACAAGAAGTAACCACCACCACCACCGGGGCCGCCGCCACCACCACCACCACCACCACCACCACCACCACCACCACCACTAGAAGACGAAGAAGAATAACAAAAAGAATAACAGCAGCGGCAGCAGCAGCAGCAGGAGGAGCTGTTGTTGCCGTGGTTGCTGTTGCTGTTGTCGTTGCGGATACTGTCGCTGTCGAGGCCGCGGAAAAGACCTGCACGGCCCCTAGCTACGGCATTTTGCATCATGCACTTGGTATTCCAGCCAAGACTTGAGGCCAATGGGGATCGGAACGGCTGGGGAGCGGTTCTGGCCCTAGTGCTGCCCAGCGTCATTGAGTCACACTTGCTATGCAGAAGTAGTTAGAGCTGCCATAGCACTGTGCACGAAGGTCTTCTCTCTTAGATCTAGCATGGTCTATATAGACACATGAACCAATAGCACAAATATATATCTCTCAGATTGGGGACCTGCAACAACTTATGCAAAGACTTGTCAGATCTACTTCGTGACTCCTAGCTGTAGAAGCTCGCTCACTGGACTGGAGCGGAGATGGTAACGCTGCAGAATTCTCGAATGTGTAAGTTTTTGCTTCTGGACGCGAGAGTTCTCCGTGATGCCCCCAGCAACGAGAAAGCACGCAGTCAAACGTTTCTGCCGCCAGCAGATGGCGGCATGCGGGCAGCTGTCAAGCAACCAGCAGCTGCAGGATGGTCGAGATTGGCGTGCAGATAGCCGCTCTCGGCAAGACAGGCATTCCCGGATCCATTTGGATGTTTTGTTCACGCTTGCTTGATACTGAAGACTTTGTAACCAAGGCGGATGTCCTTTGAGATCGGATCGGGGTTCAGGTTTCAAGAAGCCTCATGGAGTGGAAGAGGCAGACGTTCGACATGGTGGGCAGGAACGTAGCAATAAGTTTCATATTTTCATATAGTTTCATCACAAGATGCACTTGCCTCTGTGCCGCTGTATGGCTCCATCATGCCATCGGCATGTAGCCACGCTGACCAGACGTCCTCAGTGCTTGGGCTCGGGTAGGCCTGGGATGGCCTGGGACAATGCAGTTGCTTGCTTCGGCCATCCGTGACTCTGTAGGCCGGCATGGTGCTGCCTGCCGAAGGGGCCCAGGATGAGAAGCCAGCCCTCTATGTCGTGACGAAGCCGATTCGAGCTGCGACATGACTTGAACGGACGGGGTAATCGGCTAATCGAAAGACCGCTGCCGGAATATACCACTTACACTTAGGAGAAGTGGAAAGACAGGAGGGTGATGCGCAAAGCAAAGAAGCTCGCGGCCAAGGAGGCCGCTAAAACGCAGAGATGCGACAGATCCCGACATCCTCACCCAAGCTGCAGTGCACTTGCAGATAGAACGTGCTCGTCGAAAAGAGCAAGGCTTGGAGAGCGACGATGACGAGGCTCGCTGACGGAGCATGTTGATCACACTGCCTCCTTGACACAAGAGAACGCAGGTTGTCATGGACGACGGCAAGGACCATGTGCTTGACGGGGTCCTGAGGTGTCGGCATCGACTAGCACATCGAAGGGTCTCTTCTGCAATTAGGTCGAGCAGGGATTGTGATAGATTGTGCATTGTGCGACGCGGCATGTATTTGATTCAAGAAAGGAGTCAGAACAGTTGCTGTCAGCTGAGCGTGCGACACATGGCAGGACTACAAGCCGGAACCTGTGGCTCAAGAGCCAGCAGAGACGAAGAAGGGCAAGAAGCGAAAAAAGAAGAAGAAGGCCGGAACCCTGGATGCCCACCCGCTGCTCCTTACACCATCGGAGATGAGAAACCTATTCTTCGCCTGTAATAGATTCGATTGCAGAGCTGATCGTGTTGATCGGTGATGATGATGGTGATGGCAGCGCAGAGAAGGGGTGATTGTGGCATTCGGGGTGGCGGTGGTTGTGGTGGTGGTCGCAGGGGCGAAGCAGGTGATGGTAATTGGCGAGGATCATCGCACCAGAAGGAAAGGGTGGGATAGGGACAGGGATGTCAAGCCATTATGCACCAATGCAGCATGGTTATGTTTGTCATATCTTTCAGGCCCAGGAAGATGGAGAGGAGGCAGAGGAGGCCAAAGACGAGGGAAAGTCTGCGGCTGAGGCTTTGGAGCCTCCTGCCAAGAAAAGAGCCTCGTTTGCAACGGCCCGGTCGGCACTCGACCGGCTTTGCCATGTGGCTCCAAAAGACGACAGTGACTGACAGTCGCCAAGGAAAGAAGAAAAAGAAAAAGGAAAAGGCTAAAGACACGACTGGAGACACGGCGCAAGACGAGGAGGAGGAGGAAGACGATGAGGATGAGCAAGACGATGCGGCCGAGGACAATGCACCGGAGGAGGATAAAACCGAGGGTCCTCCGGCAGAAGAAGTGCAGCATCTCGGCCCTTCGATGTTTCTTTCCAAGGAGCATGCAGTGCACGGCCGGAATCAGATTTGATACTAGGTGTTGTGCAGTTACTTTGCCCAGGAATGCCATCCACAGTTCCGGCTTCTTCAGCGAAACCCGCTTCGATTCTTTAGAGATCTGCGAGCCGCTGAAGAAGGATGATTCGGGTTTTGCTGTTTCGTTTGTGCAGCAGACAAAGCCTAATGGTAATAGCACAGTGCATGGGGTTTGCTGGAAATGACGCTTCTTGGATCCGAGATGCCTGACACTAACTAGATGTAACTAGATCAAGCTTGAACTAACTAGCTTCCTTGCCAACCTCGCCCGAAAGGCTCTCACGGAGCACAACTTTGAGCGCATGACCGAGATCCAAGCGAAGTCGATTCCCCATCTTTTGAAGGGGAAAGACGTTCTTGCAGCAGCGAAGACAGGCAGCGGGAAGACACTTGCATTCTTGGTACCTGCTTGTGATCTGCTGTACAACGTGAAGTTCCTCCCAAGAAATGGAGCTGGTGCGATCGCGATCTCGCCAACGCGGGAGCTCGCAAACCAGATCTATGATGTTCTCAGAAACATCTCGAAGTACATGTCTCAGTCAATTGCCGTTTGCATTGGAGGAATGAATCGGAAACCGGAAGCTGAGAAGCTTGCAAAGGGCGTCAACATACTGGTGGCAACGCCCGGACGTTTACTGGATCACATGCAAAACACCAAAGGTTTCGTGTTTCATAATCTGGTGAACTTGATCATTGACGAAGCGGATCGAATATTGGAGGTCGGCTTCGAGGAGGAGATGAACCTCATTATTAAGATGTTGCCGAAGAAGCGGCAGACATCCCTGTTTTCAGCTACGCAGACACGAAAAGTGGCTGATCTGGCCCGGCTCTCCCTCAGCAAACCGGTTTTCGTCGAAGTCAAGACCCAAGACAACGTTTCCACTGTCGCAGGCTTGACTCAAGGCTACGTAGTCTGCCCGGCGAATACCCGGTTTCTGTTGCTCTTCACCTTCCTCAAGAGAAACAAAGACAAGAAGGTCATGGTCTTCATGTCTGCTTGCAATTCTGTCAAGCTCTTTGGCAGCCAGAACATATCAAGGAGGTGTGGTGTCCATGCGAGTTGCCAGCTTGGCTTGCGTGATCCGGACGATGGATTGTTGACATGCCTTCCTGTGTTGCAGTGTATATATATCTGTTTTCGCGCAGGCAGTTTGCGACGTAAGCCAGCCTGCTAGCTCTCAGGTTCCATGACGAGCTGCTGAACTACATCGACCTTCCTGTAAACTGCATACATGGTCACAAGAAGCAGTCTGCAAGGAGCTCGACGTGCCCCAGCATGAAAGGGTTGAGACTGTAACTCCCCTCTCTCTCTCTCGCTCGCTCCTTCTCTCCCTGGTCTCTCCCTCCCTCTCCCTTATCCGCCCAGGTACTACCAGTTTTGTGCCGCCGAAACGGGAATCCTTCTTTGCACAGACGTCGCAGCGCGCGGCCTGGACATCCCGAAGGTGGACTGGATAGTGCAGCATCTTGGGCTTAACGACATGGCAAGAGAAGAGCAAACACGGCGTTAGTTCTTTCAAGAGAAGCCCCGACGTCAGAAGCACCCGGGTCTTAGTCTCATACTTCCCGTGGCGATAGGAGAGCAAACATGGCACTGCATTTTCGACGTACTTCACGCTCTTTGGAGGAGGAAGAAGAAGGAACAATGACAGAGAGCGAGAGAGTGCCTGGACCACACTGAGACCTTTTAGTGGGGGTTCGCCTGCCAGTGTACCGTGTTTAACGTGTTTCCAGACGAGTCTCGGGGGGGGCTTGGCCGGACCTTTACAGGTGATTGCGCGATTTGACATGTGGGATATCCATGGGTTGTGTTTGCTTCGATTCGAGAATGAACAGTAGTTTACTAGCCTTGTTCTTGTCTTGGGAGGGGAGTCGTCGAGGCCTGCTTGTCGCGTTACATACAGCCTAACCCCTCGGGGAAAACGCCTCAGAGGAACGCAAAACCCACCATGGAACGCAGGTGCGCACACGCGCGCGCGAGGTTCGGGGTCCGACCGACCCTGCGCCTCCAGCCTCGTAGAGAGAGATACAGATGCATTTTCATAGAAGGTACGATCCGCCAGATGAGCCGAAGGAGACGGCATGGGTCAGTCATTGGAGCTGCGTTCTCCATCGTTTTTCTTCACGTTTGCAACACCAGAAAATCGAAGAGAGAACCATGAAGTAGTCGAGCTTGGCCTGGCAGGAGTACATCCACAGAGTTGGGCGTACTGCCCGGGGGGCTTCTGGTAAGGGCAAGGCCTTGCTCTTCCTCATGCCTGAGGAGACTGGCAGTCTGCATTTCAGAGCGAGAGCTGAAGTGCGGGGTCTTTCAGGGGTCTGAAGATGTTTCTGAGAGTCATGGGAGTCAACCCTACTGTAGGAGCTTGGCTTTCTGCATTACTTGCGCCGCGCCGGCGTTCCTGTGGCCGAGTATAGCTTCCCCTCAAGTAAAGTGGCAGCTTGGCTGTGCGACTAGGTGACGGTCTGCTGATTGCCAGACTAGGTGGCGTGCATTGTGGTTGGTTTCACTCAGGCGAACATTCAATCGCAATTGGAGCATCTCGTTTGCATCACTAGTGCCGTATTGCATGATCCGTAGTTCTGATTCCTCCTCGCTGTCAGGCGCGTCATCGAAAAAAACTACCACCTTCACAGGAGTTCGAGGGATGCGTACAGGTCGTATATGCACGCGTATGCGGCTCACAGCCACAAAGACTGCTTCGATGTGCACAAGTTAGACCTTGCCCAGGTTGCAAAAGCATTTGGCTTTGCGCACCCTCCCAAAGTGGAGTTGAACCTCAAGCACACAGCCAGGAAAAAGGCAACAGGCACCAAGGGTACCCTGCAGAAACAGCTCTCGGCAAAGTCCTCCGGGCACCAGTTCTCAGCGGACAACCCGTATGGAAAGCGGGATGCCGGCGACAAGAGGCAGTTCAGCCGATAAGTCAGGCTGCCCTCAAGGCGTGCTTCACGGCTGTCAAAAATCGGGGATGACATGAGCCGATGCAAATCGCACAATTGACCAACATATTCGGGGTCCAGGCATGTCATCCTTTGCCGGTGTCAGTGCAGCAGTGGTAGCTGGAGCAGATCACTCAGCCTCCACGCTCCTGTTGCACTCCCATCGAGGCGTGCCACCACCACACCCCCGAAACCGCTAAAAATGCACCGGCATCGATACGCTCCGACCGGACATGGGAGTGCACCAGGGGAGCTACCGAACGGGTGGTTGCCCAAGGCACCAGCTGAACTCTTAGAAAAAGATGAAGGGTTAATGTGTGTCGTGCTCATAGATTCTGCATCATTCTGCTCCAGATCCGTTTTCGGCTTCCGGATCTTGTCTCAACAGAAGTGGCCCAGATTCTCCAGGCACAAGGAGTGGCCAGATGCCTACAGAAGAAGGGGCGACAGTCGTTCGGCACTCAAGCGCCGACCCTGCCAAACAGCTGGGTCGCTGTGCTACAGTCTGAGGTCCCACTTCTTCGGACAAATGGTGGGCTGAAGGACGCAAAACCATAGGGCGAGTAGATCCGAGTAGGTGGCTCTTTTCAGGATCGAGCACTTAAGTTGACAGGCGCTGGAGCGACTGCGATAATGAGTTATGGGTGTAGTGACTTTGTTGCACTTGTGAACATTGTTGTTGACTTCATCAAACGGCAAGTGCCCGTAACCTGGAACTTGCATCCCGGGTCCAAATTCCCCACACCCTAGCTGCCGAGCTCTCGCAACTGTTGCAGCGACCTTACAGCTGTAAGCCGTTCGAGTGCAAAGCCTGTACTTGTACACGTTTGTCCGGAATTTCCGCACTGCAACGATGCGGCATAGTCGCTGGTGCACAGTGTCTAGAACAAGAGCATGAGTTGTCATGCCAGACGCCAGTCTCAGATGCGAGAACTGCTAGGAGAACGGCCGCCGGGGCGGCGTGCTTCGAGGCGGGTGTTGCGACCTGTCGTTGAGAGCAGTGCAGGATTTCGTTAAGACCCAGTGCCGCAGTGCAATTCTTGCTGGAAGCTTGCAGCCTCCAGCAGCACATTCCCTTTCGATCAACGTGCATTAGCCGAAATAGGGTCTGAACCACGGAGGCCTGCTCGCTCTTGGCGGAGTGGAAGTGCGTCACGCAGCCGCAGCCGCAGCGCAACCGTTCCAAAGGCCGCTGCCTTGAGATTCTCAGCCTCATGCTGTATTGGTATCGCAAGCTTTCCACGGCAGAGTGCTAGCTAGTGACGAAGAGCAGCCCGACTGCAGCTCTTAACACTGCCGCCACGACACCGCGGCGCGGGCGATGACGATGGTGGCGACATACCTAACAAGCAACACAGCAACACGTGGGCAAAACATAGACTCGCCTTGTTATGATTGTAGCAAGAGCAGCTTAGAGAGGGCCTACAAGCAAGAAGAGACGATCTTTTTCATGTGTACCGCAGGATGGTTATGGCTATGGCTACGGGCACAGCCGCAACAAAGGCTCGCCCTTGTGCTGACTCTCGAGCTAGGCTTCAGGCCCGGACCCTCGAATTCGTCCTCTCGTTTATCAGGATCTGCTCCTAACCCCAAGCTCATACCTGGTACTTGTAGAAGCCCAGCAGATGTCTCAGCCACCGGAGAGGCGGTACAGGCCCGACAGAAGTCCTGAAGCTACCATGGGCTCCCCCACACACTTCCTGGTGCAAATGCCAAAGCAGCCAAATACTCCCAAGACAAACCTTGACCCCTATCCGGAAAGCCGTCCAAGCGCTGTGATCGTTGTGATTGCCATTGCTATGACGCTATGGCACAGGTTTGCGCGCCCCGGCGCCGGCAGAGGTGCAAATAGCGCCGAAGGCTTTCGGCAGGGGTTCCCCAATCGTCCTAACTCGACCAGGCCCTACCAGAACCGCACAGTGAAATGACAGCTGCACATTCTGCACATTTTCAACAAACACACATATGTATATAGTACAAACAACTAATTATGTAAATGTATACATGTATGTATATGTGTATGTATGTATGTATGTATGTATGTATGTATGTATGTATGTATGTGACGTATGTCGTAGGTAGGTAGGTAGGTAGGTAGGTAGGCAGGCAGGCAGGTAGGTAGGTAGGTAGGTAGGTAGGTAAGTAGGTAGGTAGGTGTATATATATATAGAGAGAGAGAGAGAGACGTACTGTTACGCATGCTTACGCTAAAAGTGTACGCACAGTCAGGTGTGCGTCTGGTGTGTATATTGAGTTGTTATTGTTTGGTGTATGTGCTATCTGTTGCATTTGATATATATATGAGTTTGTGTACATGGCTTGCAACGTGTACGGGTGTGGATTCGCGTATTTTACCAACGCGGTTTCTGCGTGCGTTACATGCGTAGTATGCAGGGACATGGCTGTCTGCGTGCAGTACTTCGAGCCTGGCGCACCCCTGCACTGCGCACGCACAGACTGTCCCACAGCGCGTAAACTGCAGAGCTGGCCGTTGCCTTGGTATTGCGTGCTTCACATCACGAGCAAGACTCGAGGCTTGCGCCTTACAGGTAGCAGCGGGAGCGGAACTGTACAACTGTAATTGGTCTGAGCCGGCAGTGGACTGACATAGACTGACGAGGTTCGGGGTTATCACTTGGGTTGTTTTGCATTGGTGCTTGAGTGGCCGAGTTCTCGAACGCTTCCAACGGCTTCAGGCGGCCAATGGACAAAAGCGACCGGTTCCCAGACCGAAGAAGAGACTCAAGAAGTCTGCGAAGTCTGGACCGGGACTCGGAACGGTTCGGACATGGGTCTGAATATGTGATGCCATGTTGTGCCTTCGATAGGCTTGAGGATCTCAGGCTCCAAGTTTCAGATCCTGGGCGCTTGACCCTGAGGACCTGGCGCTGTGGTCGCCGCTGGCCGAGCACCCAGCTGGGCTTCAAAGCCTGCGGCGGAAGGGCCAAGCCGGCAGCGACCTGGCCCGAGGCCCCAAAGGTGGCGAAGAGCACGTCGTGGAGTGCGATGCCCAGTTCGGCAGTAAATATAGTCTTCCCCACTGCAGCCCGGCCAGGTTCCAAAAAAAAGCTTCCTCCTTCATAATGTTTCATCGAAAGAACTGGAGCATGCTCTTCGAGTCTCAGTCTTTATCCAATGTCGAGTCGAGAGTTGCTCAGCATTGAGAGCTCTAGAGTCCGATGAATGTGTTTGTCCCACAGCTGTGCTGTGCAAGGTGGTCCGTGAAGCTCCTGTGCTAATCGGATGTTCCAGGGGTTGTCTTTCAAGGTGTGAAGGGGTGAGCCATGCCGGCGCGGGCAACCACCACGAATGCGAGCGAAGTTCATCTGTATCATCATCGTGAGTCTTGGGGGATGAGTGCTCAACCCAGAAGCCACGGAGTGTTCCGACATCAGAAAATGAGCCATTACAGTTCATTGTGGAACCCAGCTGCATCAGTTTCTGGTTTCCTCAGTTTCTGCTCTCAGACTAAGCAGTCTTTAGGTTTGGTGCTAGTCCCAATCGCCTGCCGTTTTGCACAAGAGATTTTGGATGCTTCAGGGACGGCGAGCTTCCAACGCTGCAACATGACCCTTATCAGCTGCAGCTTGGCTGAAGCGGGAAGACGATGCAGTCGGATCCGCGCAGTTACAGCCGGCCGTGCGGCATCCCGATAATCTAACCGAGGCTCGATCCAACAGATCCGATCCTGCCACCAAAGGCCAAAGTTGTAGCACTCCGGGCTAGGTCCAGGTGTTTTTGGGTCCTTGTCCTTATATCTCAGTCATCATGAGCATCAAATGCAACACCGGCACGCGTATGGTCGTTCCCTGTCCTTGTCTGCATGTCATGGCGCTGCAGCCGCCTGGTCAAGCTCGGAACTGCTCGGCTGCAGCATTGCGATTCATCTCCAAGAAGATGACACAAAACCGCGGATGGGCTACAGCACACAGCGCAACGAATGTCCCATCCAGTAGCACATGCTCGCCTGCAACCCTTCGGCAGCATCAGCTTTTACTAGCCACCAGAACAGGGGAGCCAACGGGCCATGGATGATCTGGGAAACTTCCAGCTCCAGTTGCAGGCAATGCTTCTAAAGACATGCCTTCACAGATTGTTGCCCAGACATCACCACTTTGGCATGGAAAACTAGGGCCGCTAAATGTGTAAACCCCGTGTACACGTACCCTATCCCTTTCAAGGCTAGCGGCTAGGATGAGGTAGCGACCGTGGTGTCATGAGCCCTGTGCGAAGATTCTGCCCTCAGACATTGTTCCGTGTCTCGTGTCTTGTACAAGCTTGTCGCACTCATAAGTTTCGGGGAGGGGGGTGGGGCTGGGGCGTTAAAATTGATATGGTTGGGTTTGGACATATTCAGAGGTTTGATGGCTGCCGATAGAGCCGAAAAGTGTCAAGCGGGACACAGCAGATGTTTTTTTTTCAGATTTTCAGATCTGCTAAGCCCATCGAAATACCACGGAACTATTCTCCAAATTCTGCAAAACAGCCACCCTGCAGAGACGCTCAGGAGGCCTGGAATCTTCAAAGCCGCTCAAAGCCCTGAATACGAGGTTCTCAAATTTCATCTACTAGCTACTTATGGTGTGTTTAGGCAGTAACGCTTGATCATGATGCTCAAAGTAAAGATTTCTTAACAAAAAATTAAAGCCCCATGCAAAACAGCGCAGGTCTTTGCCGCCTCGGTTCCGGGCCTTGCAGAAACTCCGCTTGGCTCATGGGCCGAGCGAAGGCCGAGCTTGGAGATCTGCCTGGGCCGCTCAGCGCTTGCATGTAGCACGGGGGCACGGGGGCTCGGATGTCGGTCAATGCCTGTCTTCATGCACCAAATTGCCAGGGTCAACGGCCACAGCTGCTGCTGCTACTTGTACCACTGCTGCTGCTTCTACTTGTTATGGAAGAGCTGACCTGAACATCCGTGCCCCGTTGACAACTGTTGCCTCGCGGAGCTACTCCTCCTCTTCCTGTTGCCGCTGCTGCTCCAACTACTACTGCTACTGCTCCTGCTGTCTCTATTGCTGCTGCTGCTGTTAGTATTGCTTCGGTAACATCATAATAAGACTAAGACCAATTACGATGACTATTGGCACTGATAATAAAATAAGGATCTTATGGTCTTTTGATATGTATTTATATCGTGATTCTGAGCTTTTATAATTAGAGCTCTTATTGCGTGTACTTCCCCAAACCGGGAGCACTAGGGGGGCTGTTGTGTTTGTAGTTACGGAGGATAAGGCTGCTAGCTTCTGCCTCCCGTTGTGTCGCAGTGCGCATATTGGACCAAAGTGGCGTTATCGCCGGTCCCGGTTGCCAAGTTCGTTGTGAAATCTAGCATTTTGTCACGTTCTCCAACTTCACAAGTTCTGCTCTGCTACCGGTGGGGACTCATTTTGGCTTGGAGTTTGGAAACTGCAACAGAAATTGCGGTCCTGCCATAGTCCCGTGCTTTCTTTGTCACTATAAAGTCGCTCGATGTGGCTGACGTCCTCGCAGGACCGCATCACTCGGGCTCTTCCGGAGTGGTCTCGTCGTGTGTGGTCTTGCGGTGTTGTTCTCTCTGGTATTTCAGTTTGGAGTCTACGCCATTGTGGCAGTTTCACCGTCGTCCATGGCACGCCTTTACTGCCACCTTGACTGTCGCGGTCTAGGATTTGCATGGGGTGCTTGTCAGGAATGTGAGAGTGTCTCGTGTGCGGGAGGCTTCATTTGCAACCTAAGACATGGCCTTCGTGCAAACTCGTGAGCTCAGGCGATATCTGCAAAGAGACGAAGGTTGCGACACGGGATGAAGCCGCAGGCAGTTCTAGAGCATCCTGCTGGATACCAAGCGGGCAAGAGTGTCCCTGGCGCTTTGATGACATCCTGACCTTCACAGTCTCCGTGGAAGAATTGGACACGCACTCAGCTTTGAGCTTTCGTCTTCGAGTCCAAAGTGGCCTCTCGCTGGGTGTAGTGACAGTGAAACTTCCGACAGATATTCGCGGTGTGGCTACCGCAGATCTTCTCAGGCATGTGCTGCCTATATGCAATCCCACGCAGCCTGGCGAGAGGTTCCGATACCAAAGTTCGGTGCAGATGGTCACTTTAAAAGCAGTAGACGCATCCGAAGCCGGTTCCATTGCCATTCTGTTCGCCCTGGATGCGAATCCCAAAGAATTGCTAGCAGCCGCCGCAAGCATAACCGCTGCTGCGAAGCCGTCTTTGCGAAGATCGGAAGCGACCACGCGGCCAGCATGGTGGCTTGAATGCTGCAGCTCAGAGCAGGGGCGGCGAGTGTGCGCAGAGCACTGTCCCGGAGATCAGACTGAACAGGATGGAGACACTTCATTGAATTTGCCAACTCTGCTGCGACGGCCTGAACCCCCGTCACTGCCGTCACCAGAACAGGCGCCGGATGGATGGATCTGTCGGCGCGGACCTGGGGGACGAATGTTTTGGCATCACAAAGCCCTCGGGCCTGCACCATGGGAAGCTGTACCGTCTGGCTTGAAGAACAACAGGGCCTTTTACAGGTCCATAATGGGGAAAGTCGCTGACCTGTCGGATCTACCTCAAAGCTCAGACTCCATGCTCTGAGCTCCTCTGCCCAGTAGAATGGTTCTTTTCTTGCCAAGCAGGGTGCTTAGACATGGTTCAATTACTGTTCCTTCCCTTACAGCTGATGTGCTGTTTGGGAGTTTGGATCCTCCGCTCAGCACCTGTGATGTGACGTAGCGTGTGCCAAGCAAAAAGGTGATGTGCCGCGTGCTGCACTGCATTTTGGAGGGTACGGCTTTGTTTGAATTTCTCAATCTCTGTCTCTCCCTCTCTTTCTCGCTCTATGCGCACGTGGCATTTGTACGTGCGTGTCGAAGATAAGTGAGAGGAAGAGAAGAGACGTGGAGGAAGCTCAAGTGCAAGGGCTGCAGTAGAGGGGTGCGTAGGTCTCAGTAGACCAGAGTGAAAGTGTTGTTTATAATTACCTGTATTATTTTGGTGGTTCAGACCGATGACTGTTGCGCAGTGTGAAGTCGTCGTGTTGGGTCCAAGGGGGAGGCTGTTGAGGATTCAGCTGTTAGCAAAGGCAGCGGCTAAGTTGAGCCGGGCATGTTGCTTCGAATGAGGACTCCAAGCCTGGGATCAAGCGAGAGAGAGAGCCAGAGGTCCCACATCTAATTTGTGATGAGGGGGCACTCACCAAATTTTAATTGAACCCTAGAGTGGTGTGATTGCAGCCCAGCCATCAGGCGGCTTGCGGGGCCGGTAATTCGAGCACGTTTTCTTCCCCCTCGCACGCAACCTTTCTTTCCCGCTGACCTGCCTCCACGGGGGCACGGCGGATGGGGGAGCGCCTGGAGCGCGGGTCGAGGGGACTGCCCTCGTCTCTAACCCCAAGCAAAGCAAAGCTCTCTGCGGGGAGAGCAGAAGGGTCGGGGACTTTCACTCCTATGCAGTTTCATCCAATCGTGGATCGCAAGGCACGGGCTTTAACTTTAGCTGTTGGAAGCAGACGAAAGAAGTAGGGCACGCCAAGATGTGCAGGGGCTACGAAAGTAGACGGCACGACCAACCCACGACTCTTATGATTTACGGTCTTCAAGCCGCAACTCCCCGGTACAGACTCCACTGCATTTTGATGCCTCCTCATGCGTGCGTGTGTGCAAGGCATGCTGTCTGTTTTTACACATCCAAGCCTTTGCACATTGCAAATTTGCTCGATCGCTTGCTCGCTCGCTTTCTGAGTACTGTAGCATCACGAACTACACATTGGCACACAGGTGCTGGTACCGGAAAACGAACAGACGCAGCCCAACGGGAGAGCGCTTCCGGAGGCTGGGGTGCAAGCTTCCGCGGGTGCTTTCTGATTGCATCTCTCATTGTGGTTTTCTTCCCGAGACATGCCAAACAAGCATCACATCAACAAAGTTCTGCTGCTCTCCACCTCCAGCCTCCATGATCGCAGCGGGGCGTTGTTCTGACATGTCGCTGCTGGGTTGACACAATACGTGGCCGCTCCCAACCTTGGCCTCAAAGTGCCCTATATCAAGCACAGAGCTCTGCTGCGCCGTTTTTTGGTATGTATGAGTATGCATCCAAGACAAACTGCGCGTATCCGCATAAAGCCGGGCTTGAACACACATCAGTGGCATGCAGGAGAGGTCACGCCTTTCAACCCACACGGCTTGCTGCTCAGCGTTGGGCGATCTGCGGTGTCAGCGTCAGACTCGAGACGGAAGCGTTTATGTGAAGCAGGGTGAGGCACATTCAAGTTTCGATTCTGCGGATCTAGGCCTACTTCGATCGGAGTCGAAGTCGAAGCTGCTCTTGCTACAGTTCCTACAGCATGTACAGCTACAACAGCCCGGATCTTAGGGGTGTCATGATGAATGCAGTGCCTTTCCTTTTTACGTAGCGTTGTCCGAAGGCTACTCCTATGGCTGCAGCAGTCGGAGTTGGTCACCTCGTCCGGTTTTTCCCGACACAGTGCAGCCGTCCTTGCCACAGTGGGAAACCTTGTGCTGACAAGGTGCCGATGTGTTGATAGGTTCTGACATCACCGCACCTCACATTCTCACAATATGTTCCACTAAGGCCCCGGCGAAGCGAGTCCCGAGGTTGGAGTTGGCCAGTCTAGCACTGCACTGTTATGTGGTCTGGCATATGGTGTTGCCACGGCAGTGCTCGTCAATCTCAGGGTCTTCACCATACATACATGAGGCCATCAAGCTGGATTGCCAGGTCGCGAGGCGCCTCCGACGATCCGTGCCATCAGACTCAGAAGTCGCTTGTGTCATAGTTGGCCACACCACAGCGCCCAGCGCAACACATCAGTGCGTTCTGAGCAGGTCGAGTCGTATCACGGATGTCATGAGTAGACACCCTTGCCTGCCATGCGCAGCTGAGGAGGCACCCCCTCCTTTGGAGGCGCCGCCCGGGAGCTGGGTCCCGTGTGAAGAGGCCGGCAGTACATCATGCTGTACTGTAGCGAGACCGCTTAGTGTTAGAGTTTACTGCACTTTGATTCTACACCGTGCCAGAGTGCAGGCATCATCCTTGCAGGGCGGTGCCACGTCGTCTCACAGCCCGGGCGTCAGATGAAGATCGCAGACGTAAACAGGAAGAGGTCCATTGCAGGCCATCCGGCCTTTGGACCCAGGTCACAAAATTATGCTCTACCAAATAAAAACAACCACAAAGTCTGCAACCCTAGCACAACTGAAGGTGGACCCATCATGACCTATCCCTGCACTGCCCTGCACCCACCAACAGGTGCACTAGGTACACAGACATCAAAACTGTCAGCGTAAAGGGGCCGAAGCTCGCTCATAGCACAACAGGCAATCGCAACAAAATAAACCAAGTTTACAAACTAAACGCAACTCAGAACAAACAACTAAGGGGAACAAACTCCACGCGAAGACAGAGACAAAAACAGAAGAACCACAACACATAACACATAAGATTCAAGAAAGCACGAAACACCAACAACACACAAAACTCAAAAGGAAAAACCAACCCCGACCAATCCTCGCACACAGCGACAGACGAAGAGCAAGACCTAAAATAGCAGACAGCAAATACGGCGGAATTGCACTGCATGAGCATTACCATCACGAGCATACCCTCGCACGCGACGTAGAGTAGTATTAGAATAGTCCGCACACCACACTGCCACAACGGTAGATACCAAGCCCCGACGGTACGGGGCATTTATGCAGACGTAAACTGCAGTTGAACGATTCCGCTGTCAGCTTGCTGATCCTTGGTCGTTGCGGTTTTGCACCGGCTTCGACTGGCCAAGGGCCTGGGACTTCGCCCTTCACTGCAGGAGGCGAAGACTCGCAGACCTCCGACAAACGCTCGCAGACCCGCCCATCCCGAGGCCCAGCTCATCCGGCTGCACCTGCGGCTGCGCCTGGTTGGGACTGGGTTGTGACTGCGAGATCTGAGAGACGCGACTTTCCGCCTCGATGGTGCGTTGAGGACTACCGACCACCGCCTGGTCAGTTTCCTCCGCCTCACTTGCCGGTGGCTTGCCTAGCAAAGACTGTTCCAGCGTGGGCTGTAGGCTGCAGATTTCGCATCAATCCGAGGCCCACACCCAAGCTCCTCCTTTTTATGGTTGCGACCTCAGGAGACTCCGCTACAAGTTCCCGAGCCTCTTTGGCCGGTTGTGTAATCGCCCGGCCGAGGTATGTATCCTCCAGTGCTTGCCTGAGACGAATACGCTGTCTGTGGAACTGGCATGACCTGTGCAGCGTGAAGTAATGATGTGCAAATCTGACCGAGCCTCCGCGGTTCACCAGCAGCAGCCGCTTCGCTGTTGCGAGAGATCTGCCAACAAGGCGCAGTACCAGCAGCCCTCGGGCTACCCGCCGCCAGGGTGAGACGCGAAGTTCATGACATTCGGGTTTGCTTTGTAGGCTCATCAGGACTCAGGAAGTCAGGAAGAGCACGATAATCATCTGCTAATCGCTGCCGGGTTCTGCCCGCCCGAATGTCCAGACATGCATGTTGCCTCGACCTCGCCGCCTCTAGCTCAAGCAGAGTTCGCAGTGGACAGATGTGAACCGCTTAATCCCTGGTTAGCGACTTTACTAGATGTCAACGTGTCGGGCTGAGACTTTATGACTTCGCGTCGCAGTCTCCCCGCTGACCGATCTTTGCCAAGGCCGGAGCAGGAAACAAGACGATATGTGGGGAAACTGAAATCTGTTGGCGGGATGCCTGATGCTCAGTGCAGATCAGCACCGTGCGAATGCTGCGACTGTGTTTGCCGACCTTGACGAGGTACGGCTTCATTACATGCCCAGAATTGTCCGAGACATTTTCACGAGACGTGTATGTGACTCACGGGGCCTCGTGCTTACTCTGGCCTATGCTTGGTTCGATACATCGAAACACGCGTGAGTCTGTTGTTTTTCTTGGCCTTGTTTGTCGATCCGCTTCAGGATTATGCGGGCAAATGGGAGGTCGGGACATCGGTGAGCTTCACCGTGGCGGTGAATGACAAAGGCCCACCTTGCCTCCTCTGCCTCATGAGGGTGGCTGGTGCTGGCATTTATATGTGACACAAGCATGTGCAGCTGTGCTTTGACAGGGAAGCCACAGGCAAGGGACGTGCAGCAGATTGTCGAAGACTCCGTCGAGGACCATCGTGAGATTGTTGTCGATACCTCGTGCTACCCTCGGCTAGCATTCCAGACGCCGTTGCACTCCGTGAAGCTGCTGTCTGCGAGGTCAGACCAAAACTTGGACCAGAACTACACGTCCTCTCCTGCGGGAACTGGGTTTGTGACTCCACTGAGCCAGCCACAGATGCCAGCAACTCCTGCGAGCAGTCAGTTGCCGATGACGCCGGCAAGCCAGCAACCCACGCCGGCAGCTATGGCCCCACAACGAACTCGCCTGCCATCATCCAGTTGGGCAGATATGGTGGACGATGACGAAGAGGACGGGGGTTGTTGCTGCAGGTCGCAAATGTGCGGTATGACCCAACATCTATAACTTCTATAGTCTATAGCCGCTAGCCGTCCAGGTGGTATCAGTATCAGATGGACAAGCTGAGCCGGAGCCGACAGTGCCAATGACGGCAGAGCCAGAAATTCCAGCGGAACCCACGCCTTCGACATGCGATGGTCCCAAGAAGGCTTCTACTCTGGTCCAGGCCAGCCATGCACCGTTTGCGTTGCTTGCAAACGCCACTGCCCTCGCCACTGAGGAGTTTAACTTGGACCCAAACCTGGCCGGATTCGTGCTTTTGGACGCCCTTGAGACGGCGATTGCAGAGAACCAGCCGGAGACAATGGAAGGTCCCCCAGCGCAGTCGGAGGTCGTGCACGCTCCCACACAGACGGAGCTCAGACAGCAGGGGAACAGGCCAGGAATGGCACAGCAGCTGTCGAGAACCCAAACGTGGCTCTGACTGTGCATTTAGAGGTTTCTGTCCCTGCCGTTGACGGCCCTGTCCTTCGGAAGTGCGGTACCTACTTACACGGAGCTGGCTTTCACACACGTGGGTCTCTTGTGTCCTGGATTGAGGTACGGAAACCATGGATCAAATTGATCAAATTGAGCGAACACCCGATGCATTTGAGGCTCTTGATCGTGCGAGTGGCTTGTGCCGGAGAGCGCTATGCTGTGCTGCCTGTCAGGGAGAAGTCGCCTCGTGCCTTGGTTTCTCCATGGAGAAGCCAAGCTACATGCAGGCATCGTCCATCATCTCACCTTAATGAAATGCATAATTATAAGTCGGGCAGTAAGGGCAGGAGTCGAATCCCTTGAAAAGAGAAGTTGTCCGTCCGACTTTTGTCCACTTCCACCAGGAGCAGAAAGAGGAGCCACAGCTGCCTGCTCCAGCCCCTCCTCAAGCCAGTGAGAGCAGGTGGGAACACATTCAGGGAAATGGGACGGCTAGTGCTTGTAGTAGCGCAGCATAGCGGCATAGCGCAGCCAAAGCAGTCCAGGAGCCAAGGAGAGCGCCGAGTGAGTTCAGCACAGGCCATCGCGGGCAGGCCGGATGAGGTTTCACGTTCCGCCAGCACGAGGAATTCCAAAGCCCTGTGCAGGGTCAAGGCTGCTTTGGTGGAGACGCAAGAGGCCGTTGTTCTTCTGCTGAGTGTGGATTCCGCGCTAGCGCAGTGGCCAGGCTCGCAAGAATCTTCTGGGACCACCACCGCTGGACGATGCTCCTGAGAAGCCACGTTGGCCTTCTCGCATCCAAGCTCGACGAATGTCGCGCGAAGTGCAGCACGAACAGCTGCAGTGGCACCAGCAACAGGGTCTGTGGCCACAGACGTTGAATCGAGGGCCACGCCCGTCCGAGACTGAGCATGCTGGCCATCAGTGAGACTACTTTTTGTTGTTGGTCTTGTGCCCGAGGCCGAATGTTCCTCCGCCTGCAGTGCTGCAAGAGCCCCCTGGCCCACCACCCGACCCCAACAAGAAGAGGTTGTCCGCTACAGCACCGGTGTTCCAGCCCGGTCAGTCCTGGCAGCTTGAGGCAACCCCACCACAGCAAGGACAGAGTGCAATGCCGCCACCACTCCAGAGCCAGGCACCGATCCCCATGCCAGCCCGTCAAAAGCAGCCGCCTGGACCTCCTGGACCTCCGGGACCTCCCCGCCCTCCACCACGTGACAATCGCTCCCAGCCGCAAGGATTTCAGAATATGCATGGTCAGGGCCCGCAGCAAGAACTTCGACCTCGCCCCGAAGCACACTACAAAGGATCGGGGCCACACTGGGAAGGACCACACGGACCGCAGGAGCACTACCCGGCACTGTACCAAGGTCGGACTACGCACTACCAGTCCCAGGCTCCGCATATGTCAACACCTGCGCAGGGCCCCGGAGCCTATCCACAAGCTCGCTGGCCCGATGAAGTTCCCGAGTCCCGAGCCCGCGAGGGCCGTGAGGGCCGTCATGAGGGCCGTGAGGGTCAAGGCAAGCGCCGTGGTTCAAACGATCCAATGGGAGGCCAAGGCAATGCGTGGGGAAAAGGCGCCGCCACTGACAGCTGGGAGGTGGAATCAAAGCGTCACTGGCCCCCTGGGCCACCGGGGCCCAGGCCACAGGAGCGCTGGGAGGAGGGACTCGGACAGTGGGAAAACTGGGAGGAAGAAGGTGGTGGAAGCTGGGCTGACTGGGAGCCGCAGCGCGGAAACTGGACAAACAAGAACTGGAACGAATGGCGTGGATGGGAGGACGGGTTCTGTTGATGCACGTGGTTTTGTCTCTCACTCTTTCTACCTCTTTCTCTCCGCTCGGTTGTTCGGTCGTGCTCAGTCGCTGTGTAGACAGGCGGACAGAGAAATCGCGCTGAGGCATTGTTGTTTGCTTTCGCAGGAGAGAGAATGGAGCGGACGGAGCCATGAGGGAAAAGGGAAGGAGAAGGGCAAGAAGCAGCAACGGCCGGCACCCGAGCTTCACTCGGAAATCACACCATTACAGTCACCAGCGTGCAAAAGGCCACCCATGCGAGCTCGTAAAGGCAGTGACGAGGCACCAGCTGCAGCACAGGATTTTTTCGTAGCGTAAGAAGCATTCGTTCTCACGTCGTGCAAGCTTGGCTCAAAGGGGGCTCTGTTCTTTGCAGGTTACTGTCATTTCATCGACCGACTCATCTTCGTCGTCCACACCATCTCCACCACCAAAAGAGGCAGACATGTGTTTCATCAGTTTTTGTTTCATCCTTCGACGTTTTGTGCAGGATCGCAGCAACGGTGGAAAAGGACCGTCGTTGGCAAGATGCGCAATCTCTTGTTTTTCAGGGTGCTGAAATATGCTGAGTTAAGAGCACCAATGTCAATCTGAAGGGGGCCCTTGGGACAGGAAATGGCCGAGCTCCACGGGCGGCGCTGCGGCGCATGTATCAGGAGCAGCGGGAGGTCTGTCCGGAATGCAGAATAGACGGTCACTGTAGTTTGGTACACTGTGTTTCCCGTTTGCCATGGCAGGCTGAGAGGGGCAACGGCAACCATGGCAACCCTGGAAAACGACGGGAGCAGGCAAGCATTTTCAAAGGCTCCAAGGCTTCCAGATTCTGCGGAAAACTGCAGCCCGCAGGACCATCGTCGCCAGCGAGGATGGCAGTCCAAGTAGATGGACAATGTTTGTTCCAGCATCGCTCTGCAGTGCGGCGGTGTCTGCATTTTGCAGATTGCAACGTCGCCGCTTTGCACAGCTGTACGGGTCCGATACCTTGCGCTCTCATGGACTTGTTCAGCCTTCAGGTAGGCTAGCACCAGACGAGCTGTGAACGGACTGTGTGTACAACGGGGTGCAGAGCGCAACGGCGTGACTCAATTCGAATGCGCCTTGCACACTTCTTCCGGACTTCGTCCAGGTACATCACATCACATTACTTCGGCACTTTGAATCGCAACCGGACTGTTCCAATTGATGAAATGTCGAGATGCGTCTTACTGTACAGTCTTTTGGTGATATCATTTGCCGCATCCACGACATGGCATGGTGCGAGAGTTTGCAGATTCACGGCTGGCTGGCTAGCTCTTACGGTACCGTTACCTGCCTCTCAAGCTTCAGACTTCAGCATGTCAGTGTTCCAGCTTCGGAGAATGGTCGTGGCATGGTGTGGTCGGTCGGCTTGACATAGCAGCATAGATGCAGGAAAGGGTGATTCTGTACAATGATGCAGTGATGCATGCTCTAAGCTGCAAAGTAGCGGTAGGTCTGCCTCCATGTGCGCTCTCGAGGAATCGCCGCCCATGCCCTGTTGGGGGAAGTTAGGCTTTGAGGATGAGTGAGAATCGCAGCACTTCTCCCCCCAAGGGCCGCGTTGGCTCCCAAAGCGTGTTTGGAACAAAGGCTTCCCTGGTAGCCAACACAGTTCGTGCTCGGATTGGGGGCAGGTTTGCTGCTCTCCACATCCCGCAAAGCGAGGCAGAAAAGCTTGAGCGGGTGGCCAAGGATGCAACAGAGCAAAGAAAGCTGAGGGCTTTGCCAGAGGCAGGCTTGTCGCTGGAGTACGCTTATGGCTTTAATGGCCGAAGATGCCAAAACCTGTACGACCTCGGCCAGCTGTCTTATTGCTATAGCGTGGCTGCCTTGGGGGTGGTATGGGACGACGAAAAAAAAGAGCAGCGGATTTTTCAGGGGCATACAGCCGAGATCACAGCAATGGCATGCTGCAGTCGGTCACGGCGGATCGCGACGGGACAGAAGATGGCACCGGGGGAAACGTCCGCGAGCATCTTACTGTGGTCTGCAGAGGAACTTCCAGTTCCGAGCATGAGGCAACAAATCTTAGGGCACAATCAGGCCATCTACTCTATCGCCTTCTCGGCAGATGGGCGATGGCTGCTGTCTGTGGCAGCTGAAGAACGTGGCCAAAAGCCCTCGAAGAACGAGCTGAAGGCCAATACCTCGCCCCTTTGCGCTTGGCGCATTGACGACATGCCGGCCAAAGGCCCGGCTCGTCAGATCCGCGCGCCGCAAACCCGTTTGCCCATCAGGGAGAAAGTCCGCTTGGTGTCGCACCCGGCAGACAGCAGCTCGGAGCAGTCTTTCATTGGCTTTCATATCGTTTCGTTGCTTTGTTTTCTGCCGCGGCCAAGCTGCACAGGCACACGCGTCATGGCCTACGGTGGTCGGAATGTCTACTTCATCACCTGCAGCTGGGCCGCCAAAGATGCTGCTCAGGGCGCCAAGATTCTCACGCCGACACCTCCACCTCCGCACGATACTGCTGGTGGCCCCTTTTACGGCTTCAAGACAGGTGCCGGTCAAATTCGTACAACATGGAGTCATAGTCACATCATAGTCATAGTGATCGTGTGCCACATGACGTGGTTGATGTCAGCTGAATTTCAACACTCTGCTTCTCATCAGAACAACCCGTGCCCCAGGCTGCTTCATCTCGGGGTCATCCGATCTGGCTGTCGTTGGAACGGATGGAGGAAAGCCGGGCTCGTGTCACTGCCTATGTTGCATACCACAACTGCAGTTTGCATGTAGAGTTGCTGTCGATGGCATGATCCTGTGTGCCAGTACATGTTCTATGCCATCATGCGACTTTGCTGGTTCCACCCCAGTCACACGAAGCAGTGTGCCGAGTGCATCAGGAGTCTTTGTGATTGAAGCCTTCTCTGCTGATGGGCCCGTTTGCTTGCGCGGGCTTGCAATTACCACCTTCGAGGCCGGCACAAAATAAGATTCAACAACGTAGAAGGCCTTGGCAGGCAGTTGGTCGCATGGTGAGAAATCTAGGACCAGGAATCTAGGCTGTAGTGTTGTGCCGAGCTGCAAAGAATCGCATGCGCCGAAGATGCATGCGACAGACTAAGGTTCGCTTCTTGGTGCCACTGTCGTCAGGGGATGTGGTCTGTGGTGGCTCTGGCGAGTCCATTCTGCTGTTGCGTTCTGATCTCTCATCCACGCAGATGAAGGTGGCCGGGCTGGCTCGGAATATTTTGGATTTCGCCACAGCCACCCAGATTGAGTCAACGGCAGGCCCACAGATCTTAGCTGGAACTGTCAACGGTGCTCTTTGCCGAATACGGATGAATGTGGGCGCTGGCTACGGCTCCGCAGAATTGTTGCAGCAGTCGCCTTCTGGTAGGGCTGAGGTTAAGGCACTCTGCGTCAACCCGCGAAATCCGAACCAAGTGGCCGTTGCAGACTCCAACGGCCTCATTATGTTCTTTGACTTAGACGTGCAAAGACTCATGGATGTTGCCAATCAATTTCGAGCAGCGGTGACAGCTATGACATGGGATCCGAGTGGCTTGCTGCTGGCTGTAGGGCTTGAGAGTGGCCACTTGCGATGCCTGATCATCGGAGATCTTGAGGCCGGGAGGATGTCGGAGCTTGACATGGGCAGCCTCGGACTTCAGGAAACTGCGGCCGTCACTGCTCTCTGCTTCTCGCCCGGTCCTGGCGCTCTGCTAGCTGTCGGCTATAGGGACGGGCGTGTTCAACTTTTACAAGTGCGTCGACCGCTGGTTGGAGGCACAAATGGCTCCACCTTCCAGCTGGCTCCTCTCAAGGTACTGCAGGGCAACGCGAGTGCCGTCTTGTCTCTGCAGTTCGCGAAGGACACTTGTTGATTGTGCGGGCATTGAGGCATCGTTGTACCAGTTCAAAGCACGGGCCTTCTTTGCAGGACGGCTCTGCTTTGGCCAGCAATGCTCGCCCCTGGCTGGAGCAATGTGTGGGCTTAAGTTAAGCTTGTTAGTGCTCAGTTGGCTGTGACCATCGGAGCCAAGGAGACAGCGCCATTCTGTGTTGGGATGTGGAAACCGGCAAGTCAGTGCTGTCGAACTTCCCTGCAGACGTTTGGTTCGGGAATGGGCACAGATTCAGGCTTTTCAGCTTGACTCAGAATACGCCGTCATGATAACTTGTCTCGCGCGTGTGCATTGCTTCAGTCGTCGGGGAAGGCTAATCTGAAACAGAGGTTGGCCATGTCTTGGGCTATGTGGGGTGCCTGGAACAAAGACAGCTGCTTGACTGCACGACTCTGTGCTGTTCTGCAGGCTGACAGCGCTTGGGATTTGCGTGAGCGAAGTTGTTGGTGTTGTCAGTTACCTCGATGCGTTCTGATCGTCACTCCGCACCTTGCAAGGCTACAGGTCCAGCACGGCAATCATCGCCGAGTCGCAGGGGGTGGCCAAGCTAATGGCAGTTGGGGATGAGGACGGCCTCGTCAAGCTGCAAAGGCCAGAGCGCCACGTTGCTTCAAGTAGGCCCCACAATCAGAGAATCATGAACGAACGGAGCGAATCCGCATGGTGATGCCTTGTCTTGCAACAGGTTTCCGCTCTTTATCCCCGATGCTTTGGCCAAGGAGAGGGCGTTGAGCTGCGGGCTAGCTGGTCTTGCTGAGACGACAACAGCCTCTGCAGGAGCACTTCGGCCATTGCTCTCGGATTGCTGGTCTTGCTTGGGCTGGTCCGGATCGTCTCGTCACTGCCGGTGCGGGGTCGAAGCTTGGATGCTGAGAGCAAGCAGCTTGTGAGCATAGCAGGGTTGTGCGCTCCTTGAGGTGTGCACTCTTGCAGTGGCGCCTGGACACCAGCCGGCGCAAGCAGGAGGAGGCAGGAACAAGCCAAGCAGCTGCTGCTCTACTTACTATCTGCTGGGTTTCTGGGCCTTTCCAGAGTCATTCCTACACTGGCAAAAGTTGAGATGCCGGCGCCAGGTGGCGAGCAAGGAGACGTCTGGAGCTGTTGGAACGGCATCGGTGAGGTCGGCGAAGAGCGCAGGTGCTGGCCGACGACTCGCCACAGACGCTCGCCGCACAGAGTGAGCGCACAGAGGGTTCAGGCCGGATGCGCGAATGCCTTACGGATACCACCACTGCAAGGGTGATACTGCGGTGTTTCAGTAAGGCCTCCGGAGCATCACAGTCTTCGACGGCGAGAAGCAAGTCGCAGTCCTCAACAGGAGGCACACGCCGAGGTTTTGCAGCAATGGCTGTGCTTCCTGGTGATGCGCCTTTGCACAGCGGCAAGACCACGGTACCTGTGTCGTGCAGTTCCACGATTACTGATGCCGTCAAACAATGCCTGCTTTGTGGCAGTGGTCGTCAACGGGCCAGCATTCCACTGCATGAAATCACAATCCATCACAGTACCTGCAGGCTCTACTAGAGCCCGTCGGTGTTACCGTTATCGAACCGTTGGTTCCCAAAGTGAATCCTGTGGAGACAGCACTAGAAGGTCCAAAGTCCTGCGTCAGGCCCAGCTCGGTCACGGCCATCAGGCAACCTGCGAAGCGGCCTCCTCAGATTTCGGCTGCCGCATTTGCCAGGCCTTTGTCATCCTTTGTCCGTGAGTTAGTGGAGCTTTCCGCATGGTTCGGAAAAGATGGCATCATGTAGGCTGATGCTTAGTTACTGGTTAGGTCCACGTCTCAATTTGCAACCGGTGTTTAGTGTCCCCAGTTTGAGCTGGGCAGTTGGCCGAGTTTGGAGCAGGCACTACAACTGCCTCAAGGCTCACTCTCCAGGTCACTCCACAATCGGTAGCCAGAAAAGAGATGCAAACGAGATTTTGACGAGAGTGAAGTGCTACAGATTCGTCTGCACATCTTGACGTGGAATCTCATAACAAATCTCATCATCAAGATCGCACTGGGAGACTCATGGTCATCTCGTTCAAAATCCAGAGTGGGCCTGTCACGGCAGGCAATTCTCTCGCAGACCGCTGACGTCGTCATGATACGTGAAATCCTCGTTGTCGTGAACTGCATCTGAGTTTTCGGCTTGGCGGGCCGCACCCGATTGAAGTACTAAGTAGTATCTCAATGCAGCAGCAGAAATAATCGCGGTCCCATGTCGTGCTGTATATAGCCAAAGCCTCATAGGACGAACGTCTATGCTATGAGAGTAGGAACAGACCATAACCAACAGCCGCAAAGTAATTCAATATCTACAGGAATCGCTGTAAATGATTCCCCCACCTCGTCATCCTGGCTGACATAGACTGGGCGCGGTGCGGAAAAGGGGGGCGGGCGTCGAAACTTGACCCACAAAACTCACAAACCTCTGGAGTCTAAAAATCTCAGGAGAGGTACAGAACCTGAAGCTGCTGAGCGGTGGATCAGCCCCCGGTAGAAGCGGTGTAGTAACCCGATGTGGGCCTGTAGTTGGCTGTAGGTGGCCTTGTGAAGATGCTTTGATGGAAGGTGCAGCTGCAAGGATTTCAAGCAATTCCACGGCCCAGTATGCCAGACCATAGGACCCAGGCCGTGACCCAATCCCCACTCTGCCCTCTCCAGCAATATCACGACAGCTCACGCTGCAAAGCCGAACCCCCAAACAGACACAAGTTGCGACAATCCAGGAGAAGATGTTCAAAATTTCACAGGCAGAGAATGTCAGAGACGTACTTCGGACACCAGTAAGTTTTCCGATTCCCTGCAAAGGTTCCAGCCCAACGAGTCGTTCAAGTCGACAGCAGCGAGCGAGCGACTCGATCGCCAGTGTGGCATCCACACGGCCCAACAGCCGAAGCCGTGCCAGTTCTCGGCTGCGAGGCCCTGCATGCCTATGGATGGCAATGCTAGTTGAAAATTAAATCTATGAGAATGGCAACTAGAGAACACCAGCAGCAATTTCATATTACTAGTAACAGTAACAAGGACAATCAATACTGCCAACAGGATTTCTTTGGACCCATGCTGCGTGCAGGTACCACCGCGACAGAGTCGAGGCAGTTTGCATTCAAGGCTTTGCTGATGTTCTGGCTACGCTTTCGTTTCATTGCGTTTCCATGATCTGCCCAGAACCGGACACTTTGCAGTTAGTTGGGTTTAATGGTTGCAGGCCCGAACAGAGGAACGCTTCAAAGATGCTTCGGTGCAGACGGACCCACCGAGCATGGTGACCCAACGAAACATCGCTGCCTGACAAGATTGGGATACTTGCTAATGAAGTATCAGAACGGCGGCAGGGGTTCGTCGCAGCCTGTCTCGATGCGCCTCTCACATCAGTCATAAGGTGACGTTGGCTCCCCCCGTCAACTATGCGAACTATCCTCCGGGCCGCTTCATTGCTATCAACCAGGAAGCCTTCGGTGCCTTTCCTGCACCCATGTAATCGTTGCTAGTAGGAGGCCGGATCCAGGAACGAATGCTGATCGTGTCAACTGCAGGTTCGTGGCAGGCCGGGGTTTGTGGCAAAATGTGTTTTTTCGCCGCCTGGATTCCGCATTGGCGATGAAGAGACGCTGAATCTGTGAAGGCACAATCCCGCCCCACATCGCCGATCCGGTACGCATCGCCACCAAGGCACGCACCAAAAACACACTACAATGTATCGTCGGTATAGTCGTCTGCTCGCAATCGCGCAGGCTGATGTCAATGCCTCCGGGGTTCGGCCAGCCGACACACGGCTGCAGAAGTAGGAGCTTGAGGACCTACAGTGCCGGCACGCGAGATTGCAGAAGGCAGCAATGAGCTGGCAAGGCTTCCTTACATGTCTCCGCCAGATGCCAAGCGGTCACCATCCCTGGCGATGGTGGCCGTTTCCCCTCCAAGTCTCCAAGAAGGCCCGAGAATTTAAGTGTTGCAGTCAGTTTGGGGTATTGATGGTGTCCTGCACCAGGAAGCTGTGGGACGGATCTTGCTCAAGGCCTACCAGGAGTTGCAAGTCCAGCAGCATCTCGGCTTGACTTGAGTTGATAATTTCGCCAATGTCATCCAGCATCCAGCGCAATGAATTGATAGAACACGGACCGACTGTGAAGCCGGGCCATGCTAGAACGCAAGTGGATATAAAGTATTGATCCAATGGGATGCAACCCCAGCCATGCTACAGCACTTTGATGGTGTGACGGCAGTGGGGGTTTGTGGCGCCTCCCCGTTCAGTCCCCAACTCCGAAACTCCCGCGTAAAGAGCGGACAGACTATTTCGCACTGATCCAGGAAATGCAGCTTTTGCAGAGAGCCCATAAAGCGTGGCGGACTTGCCCTCAGGTGCCAACGGTGTTCCGATATGTTTCGGCAGCTTCGGCGTTGAACCGCGGCAAGATGCAGCAGTTTATATGGCTTTGTGCGAATGGGCCGATACTTCCGCATCGTTTCACCAACTCGAAGTTCGTGCGCGGTGTGAATTGGAAAGTGCCACAGCAGCTAAGGGCTCCATCGAGTCCGTCTGCTGCCAGTCCTTTAAGGGCCCAGACGCCACCGCCCATGCGCATCTCCCCAAGGCACGTGATCGCATAGGACAATAGCGGTCCTGGCGATAGGAAAGGTTTGCCAGGATCTGGAAGCCCTGGCCGAGGATCTACCAGCCCGCGCCGGCGGCTACTCCCACAGAGCCTGTTGCGACGCTTACAATGCCACCATCTCGAATGGGACTGAAGCTGCCAACGCCAGCGTCGACAATCTCGGTTCGGCACCAAGGATTTTAGGTTGGGAGATGTGGGAGGACATTGAATTTCGCATGCCAGATGGTATGCCCATGGCACAACTATGCTAAGCAAAGGCCTGCAACAGCGGCGATGTGTCGCACCTTTGCTGCAGCGCTCCGTAGGCTTCGCGTTCTGGGCAGCAGAGCTGTCAACAGCAGACGCGCAGGATCTTGCTAGCCGAGGCCGAGGTAAGTAGACAGACGTTAAGATATTGCACAAATATTATACAAGTCGTGTAAGACTGCCAACTTTATGATCTGCCTAGAGAACATGATCTCAGCCGCTTGCAGAAGATAATTGCTTTGCGGCTTGGCCCATGCGGCGCTCCATATGCCGCCGGCTGTATCCGTTACCATAACGCATTCCCATCTTGTCGACAAGGTCGAGTGGGAAGGATGTTGCATCAAATTCGGGAGCGGCCCGGAGTGCAAATGATACTTCCCCATCGCAGAACTATGCAGAAAATGTGCTGGCTGTTTTTATGCCACTTTGCAAATGAGACTTGGAGCCACAGGGCCCAAACCACAGTGCAGACTTTTGTTTTGCGAGACACTTTAATTGTAGGTACGGGCCGCCTCCAACATACGGCCGTGACATTGGATACGGCAAAATGGAGGCCGCTTCTGTCCGAAATGATTTGGATGGGGAAGAGATAATGAGATTCAGGAAGACTCAAAAGACCGCTGGAACCGAACTACGCTCAAGATCTAGCCAACTACCGTCAGCATAGAGTTTGACAGAGTGTGGTTCGTAAGGACAGGCGAAGGTCACCCGAGAAGTGTTTGTTGCCGATCTTGGAGCCATGCTTTTCTGGATGTTCTTGTAAATATTATTAATCGAACTTCCGGAGGCCTCTCCTGTCAGACTGTATAGTGATGTATACTCCTGATGCCAGGGCAGGCCGCGATCTGGGGGAAGAGACCGCCTGAGAGGAAGACGAAGAGGACGCTTCGGAAAGTGCTTAGATGTCGATTGTCCAGCAGAGCTGCCAGGAGCAGACGGACGCAGGCTTCCGAACTTTGCAAGTCACGGGGGAGACTCGAAGCTCCGTTGTCCGTTTGCGGCAGGGGCCGCAGCAGATCTCCTGGCCGGGGTGCCCGCGCCAAGAAGAGCCTTGGGCCAGACAGGGCTGACTTTTCGGCCCAGAAGCCCCGATTCTCAGCAGAACTCTTTCGGGCTTGCCACCCAAGGAGAAGGAAGAACAGGAAGCCGCACTTCTGGCGCGATTTCTGACAAGTGCCCAGATCAAATGCCGAGCTGGAAGGGCGTTCTGCTGAGAGCCGTACAGCAAATGTTTTTGACAAGACTTAGCACTTGCAGTTGGCCAGGAAGAGCCGGAATCTCAGCAGATGATTCACGCACCATCGGGACGAGACGGCACTTGCGCATTCGGCGAATCCCTGATGGGCCTATGGCATGTCGTGCTTCCAGAAATTTGTTTGAATGTTGGAAGAGATGCCGTGTGAGAGGTCCGGGAGAGCCACCGCCGAAGTGGGGCGACACCTGGGAGGACTGCACGATGACTCGCGCTCACGGTGGTTGCTTACCCACAAAGGCCAACAGGAATCGATTAAGCAAACGCTTGGATCCGCAAGAGGGATGCAGGATTCAACATGATTCAAACAGAACTGGTTTCATTGAATCCCCAGATATGTTTCGAGGAGCCCCGTTCATCCAACGGCTTGAAGCTGATTTCGGAGACTGCGCCCAAGGCAGTTGGCGGATGAAGCCTTGTTTGCCTGGTTGTATGGGGTCCCCAAGCAGAATGCATCTCGGACGTGGCTTCGCAACTCTTCGCAAGCAACTTCACAACAAACACAGCCCCGCGACAGTGTAGGATAGTTTACTCGACAACGGCTGTCACCCAAATCACTTGGTCGGCTTTTTTCAAGCATCTCCTCTGTCCACCAGTCTCTTCCATGGCGGCTGGTCCTCAACGACGAGTCTCGGCGCTGCTTTGCGGCCTTTATGCCCTCGCCGGCGGGAGGCTTAACCAGCCTGTCGCTGCTCCATCCCAGCACAGACAGGTGGACCATTTTGGGCATGTCTTAGGTGCCCCAACCACGCCTTCAGGCTTTCTTCAGAACGATTCGGGACCGCCGTGTCATTGTCGTTGAATCGCTCCGTCTGGCATTTCTATCGGCAGGATGGCACGACGTGGCTGCAGCCAGATGGCCCGCAGGGGCTAATGCCAAGGAAGACTGCTTGGATGGCGGCCTCCTCGGCGTCAGAGTGGCGCTCCCGTGTGGACTTCTCAGTTTCGACTCCGAGGTCCGGGCTGGTTGCACCTGTCCCTACAGATACGGAGGCCACGGCCGAGGGTCCAGCCCCCAACCGCATCCCCAAGTACGGTCGGACCCGTGCCTGCCTTAAGTGCGAGTCCAAGCATTCCAACACACCTGTGCCAGGCGTGTTGGTGGAGCCGCAGGCCGCTTTCGCCGCCTGCTTTGCAGACGCATGGGATCCTTTCTTTGTAGGTTTCAGCATGGCATGGCAGCGGACTTGGCAGCAGAGCGCAGGTCTTTCCTTCTTGGATGAGCGATGTTCTTCGACGCTTGCCCGCATCGGAGCCCACGGCCCCCGCTTGGCACGATGGAACATGCTGGAACTGTTGGTACTCCAGGAACCTACATGCCGTATTGTGGGTTCCAGCGAGAGGAGGACTGGCTGCATCCTCAGTGCACAATCTGGTGCACCCCCTACCCTACTGAAAGAAAAAAGGAGCCTGCCCCGGGCTTGTTGAATCTTTGCTGCCGAGAAATGTAGGGAGCACATGGGACCAGCACGATCAGGCCTGATAGCTGCAATGTCAACCTCTACGAGGATGGCTCGAACTCTGTGGGCTGGCACTCTGATGACGAGGTGCCGTGTGATAAAGGAGTCATAACTTGATAGAGTGGTGGGCTTCCACGTGTCACTCCTCTTCCTTGGAAGCTAAGCCGTTAGAAGCTGAGCAAGTATAGCCTCAAGCAGAGCAGCTTCCTGTTCGACACTATTTGTCGTGTTTCCGCACGTGCTCCAAACGCAGCCAGTGCTAATCCTGCATGGGAGGCCTTGTTCCAGGGCTTGATCCACGATGCGCGAATCATCTCGCTGCTGATGGCTGAGAGCATCAGGTGTGTCATGAATTCCAACAGAGCTGGACTCTTTCATCCTGGGTTGACTCAACCATAACAGCTTGCTGCGGCTGTCTGCTTCTGAACGATGCATCTAGAGCAATGTTACAGCGCAGAAGCCCTGGGGGTGAGCCTGCCGTTTGAATTCTCGAGGTCGCTTGGACAGAAGAGGAAGTTCGATCTGAGGAAGAACTGGCCAGAGGACGGTTTGGTTCAGCTTGGCCTAGCGCTCCTAACTAGCTGGCGGCTGCCGTTTTTGTGCATGGGCATGTAAAGCCTCAATGAATACCTCATAGCCTCCCGGAAGAGCAGTCAAAGCCTCAAGCCACAAGAAGAACGGTCCTCATGCTTCAATCCTGTCTGTGTGTCTCGTTTCTCCCTTCCGCGAAGTGTCGCGGTTTGAAGGGATGAAGCGGGAGCTTCTCATCTTGAGCCTGTGAGCTGACACAAGTGTCACTGCCACAGTGGCTCCATGGGCCTCTGTGTGCTCTGCCAAACCCTAAACCCTAAACCCTAAACCCTAAACCCTCGGCAGGCAGGTGAGAAGATTCAGGAACGCCTTCACCTCGGAAACGGTGTCTCGGCTTGAAGCTTCTTGGAGGTCACTTGGAGCCTGTTTCAGCGTCACGGCAAATGGCGACTGCGAAGCACTGGGGAGGCGAAAAAGGCTAGGTAAGTGTCAGGTTTAAGACTTGGAGTGTCAGCGTGTGAGGAACGGGGCTGTTCGAGCGTGCCTGTAAGGCGCCCTGGCCACCATGGAGGCTCTTGACTTGGGGAGCCTTACTGCCGACTCACTCTTGGGAAGTTCTGGACTCTCCTTGATTGGTCGCCTGGGGCATTAGACTGGGATCACCGAAGAGGAGGAAGAGTTGCTTAGGCTTACTCGCTTCACTCAGTCACTCCTTACGAAAAGCTGACAGATGTGCAACGCATCGAAGAGCGTAGAGCTTCCTAGGGCAGCAGGTGGGCTTCAACTGTAACTCTGCAGAAAACGGGGCTCAATTGCGGCTGATGCAGGGTTCTCCCCCTCCAAAGAAGGAGAGCGAATCCGCGGTCTCGCAGGAAGTTCCTGTCATCCCTCAGGTTCCATTTCGGGGTTCAGGCGGTGCACGCAAAGACCCATTGGTCATTGGACCGATCCTGTTTGGTGGGCGGGAAGACCAGTGTGAAGGGGCATCAGGGAGCGAGCTGACCTTCAATTTCAGATTCTGTCATTGGACGCAGGGGATGCTGCAAAAGCACTACATGCACCGAGTTCCTCGAGAGGCAGATGATCTTGGCCAGGGCCTGAGCAGATCAGAGGCTTTGGTGACAGGTACTCGTAGGTGTGAGGATCTGAGGATGTTCACCTGTTTCACCCTGAAAGGGGTCTTAGCGCCATACGTGCTGAAGGCTGCCAAAGAATTTCCTGCAGTGCTGTCGCCCGCAAGGACCCCGCATAAATCTGACCTGGCGGTGGATCAAGAAGCACTCGCAGGCGAGAGCGGCTCGCTGTGACGGAACCTGCTGCTGAACCATGATGGTAATCAGAGGCTCTTCCTCCACCGCTACAGCCAGTCGGGTGGCAGGGTGGTAACCTAAACCCCAGCAGAATCGAAAACCCTTGCTAGGGGGTTGGGATCGTGTGATTCGCACAGTCGGTGCCGGACGTTCGTAGAATCATCTGTCGGCAGGTGATTCGGTGATTCGCATTTTGACCCACCGTCCGCATGCTTGGAACTGCCAGGACTGCCCGAAGGCCACCGGGCCCTGAGGCTGCCCGTGGTGTCGATGAGAAGGTTGTTTGCGCTTTTGTATCATGTTGTACCCCATTGTACCCCCTCTTCGAGAACAGGGAGTGGCTCTCCCCGATACGACATCTGAACCGGCGAGAGACTGCAGTTGGCAGAGCTGCCCGAAAGCCGCTGAAGCCTCGAACCTTCGATCCAGAAGCTCCAGAATCCCAGAACCCTGGGCCGGGTTCAAGTCCCTTGAGGCCTGCAGGAGTACCTCAGCACTTCGTGGCCTACGCTGCTTGAGCGGCGCCTCTTAAATCTTCGAAGCACTGGCTGCCCAAACCTCCATGTATCGTACGAGCATAGCTACACTTTCAAGTCTAAATGAAAGTCACTGAAAGTCTGTCTATGTGTGTGTGTGTGTGCGCATGCGTGTGCATGTGTATGTGTGTGCCTCAATTGTAATGAGGGCACAAGTACATACTTGTACGAGTAAACGAACCAGTAGATCCTAGTAGAACTACAAACAACAAGATGCATAAACAAGTAAACCACTACATGTTTGAGCGAGTGAGTGAGCGAGTTAAATAGCTAGATAGATAGACAGATAGGTAGCAGATACGTAGGCAACTGGACAGAGAGACAGACGGACAGACAGAGACAGACGGACGGACGGACACATGCACACACACACACAGACAGACAGCTAGACAGACATCGTTCGACAGATAAATAAATAGATCCGCAGATGGACACGTAGATAGACTGCTAGACAGATAGACGGACAGACGGATAGACAGATAAGATGGATAGGTACGTAGACAGATCGATAGATAGACAGGTGGATAGCTAGACAGGGAAAAAGCGATGCAGACGGGCAGATAGACAGGTACGGTATGCACGTGGATAAGCTCGGTTAGCTTAGATTACTAATAGCTAGGTCTGGAGATAGAAAGATAGACAGACACAAGAAAGATAAGAAAGGTAGCATTTCATACTTTCTGCCTCTGTTTATCATAGCAAAATACATGCAACGAAAATCTGAACGGGCGCGTGTTAATGTCTCTCTGCACGTCCTTCCCAACATACGGGCGTTTATGCACATCTATTTATTATGTAATTTGATGTCTGACATGCACTTCCAGAGCACCGCTAAGCATATAATCCAGAGTACATGGACACATCATGGCATCCCCAACATCGGGGACTTGAAGCTCTTGGAGCATGAAACAGTTGAAGCAACGCGGCTAATCCCTAGCAGACAATGAAATCGAGTGGGGGCCAAGATTTTATTGCCTGCATCTCTCGCAGGCAATGTTAGAAGGCTTAGCGAGATAACTGATTTAATCCCAAGGGCCCGGCCCTAGCGGCTCGGCAATCGTTTTGTCTACCCCGTGGCTGCACAGCTTTGCCTGTCACACAGGGCTTGGCACAGGTGGGACGCCTCCTTTACTAAAGCGGCCTTTGAAGGAGTGAGGTTGTGAGCCACGGGTTGCCAGTCAAGTGACTGAAACATGCACCCGTGAAGCTGGGTTTTTCGCCTGACCGATGTTTGGCCAAGTGTTGGCGAGATGCATGGCAGATGTTCGGCAGGCTCCCGGAGCGCCTCTCAGCAAGAGCTACCTGCAAGCGCGTTTCCTTGACGGGTTTTGTAGGGCCCCCGATGTCCGTCGGAGTAGGATGGCGTAGGTCTGATATAGATTCAAGACGCTTGTTTTTGCAGTCGACGAAAGAGCGATTGCAAAGTTCCAAAACAGTGTCCGCGATGCAGCAGCTGGAGGCTTGCAGCAAGCTCGCTGTGGTAAGCAGAAACAAATCTCAATGCCAGCTACGATTGCTGCATTGCGGCTCAGTGGGGCTGCCGGTGCACATGGCTGCTCCGCGAGGGCGCGTGCCCCTGTTGCCCTAATAAGCGCTGAAGGTGTCGCATCCCGGGCTATATGCTGCAAAGGCCGCACGACTACGATGGCGGAGGAGGAGGAAAAGCCTGTGGCCGGAGTCTTCCTGGGCTGTGCAAAGCTGCATGCAGCCGCCCCAAGTCGGGGCGACATGCAACTTAGGTCAAGGAGAATAAGGACCATCAGATCTTGGACACCCTTGATGCAGAGGCGGGTGTGCCTCCAAGCCGAACATCGGAGCCTTCTTGGTCTGCAACTCCCATGAAAAGCCTGTGCTGAGCTTGGGCTTACCTGGGGGTGGACAAGGGAAGCAGGTGCAAGTAAGCCGGGGCTGGGAAGGCCATGGAAAAAGATTCTGAAGGTGCTGGCATTACTGGCTTCTTCGTTTCGTGTCATTGTATACTGCCCCAGAGTGTTGACATGATCTTTGATGGACTGATGATGTTGGTTGGCAAAGAGGCTTGAAGGTCACCATGCCGAAGTGTTGAACCTCTTTTTGTCTTTTGATGCTCGGCGTGATTTGCACTTGGGCAGGGCAGCTGCTTCGGGACACGCACGCGTGGTGCGGTGACGGAGAAAGGCTTGTGGAGCCTTGGCTGGATTTGCTTTCGTGCTGTGGGCAGCGTGTCGTTGCCACATTGGCCGATCGAGACAGAGCTGAGGCACAGATATGTGCATGTTTGGGTGCTGAATCTTCCTGACAGCAGCTCGCCGACATTGGGTCCCTGACTGTGGTTAGAGGGGTGCTCTGCTCGTCCAGCTTGCTCTTTGTGTAGGCACGTGCAGATGTAGTGCAGGGTTGCCACATTCACACATGCATTGAAGCATAGCCATGAGCGACAGTACAGTCTCCGGCTGAGACTGTGTAAGAAGCACAGTGCCATACCATGATGCTGAGGATTCCTGAGGATACTAATGCTGCGTATTGGCAAGCCGAAGCACGAAAGCTCGCGAACGTTGTTCATTAGATAGCGGTAATGTGGGGAGCATCTAAGGTGCCGTCCTAATGCAGCTTCGCGCTCCGGTGTAGCGGGCGAACTTTTCGAGAGTCGCCAATATTTGGCGCCTAAGCTCAGCAGATTTCCATGTTGTTCTCGCGGAAGCCTCACGAAATTCAACCGAAGTCGTGGGGCGACTCAGCACAGATTTGTTTCGAACAGTTGCCGTGGTACCTTGTCCAAGCGAGTCGACACCTCCAAGACATGCCACCTGTCAGATTGTGCCAGGAGAAGAAACGATTTGGAGGAATGTGGAGTTGCATCCCGGCCAAAATGGAAAGCGCATGTCAATGTGCTACGCGCCTTGACTCGTTCACGACAATGGCAGAGAGTTGAGGCACATCTGGATTTGTCATGTCTCAGCCTGAGCCTACCTTCGAGCTCTGACACCCGCTAACGTGCACTAGACAGGATCATGCCCAAGTGAGTGTCCGCCGATACTCGTGAATTGCACTCCTACAGGGATCGCGACCTACAAGATTCTTGCAGAGAGCATGTACGACAAGCTTGCTGCATCTAACATGATTATGCGAGCTCAAGCGTGCTGCTTGGAGATGTTGTCGTTGTTGATCAGGGCAAGAAGGAGCCCTCAATAAAGTTTGGCTCATGCTCGTAAATTTCTCGTATTGCCTGCAACGTCACCCGGCACAGACATCCAGAGCGAATAGCTACAACAGTTTCAATGTTCTGATGGCCCCTTCGATGGAGCGATGCTTCCAATAGGACATGGCAAGGCGCAGGAACTCATGCCGCCGCAGGGCAGTCCGCTGGCGTCCAGCCCTTCTCCCAGCACCGACGACGACTTCCGTCATGCACCGTCGGTCGGACGACAGCCCAGCGAGGCTGGTTTGCGAAGCATGGCGAGCCTCGGCCTTGTTGGCAGGAATATCACGAAAACATTATGTAAGCACCTGCAGTCTGTGCGTATCCGCGGGCTGTATCTGGTAATACTCCAGATAGCAGCTAGCGGATCTGGGAACCCTCGCGATTTTAGGTGATGATACCACCAGCTACCCCGGTAGCCAATCAACTAAAGTTTCCTCGAATTCGAGCGGACTCATACCAATGTTCCCAAAGCTTGGTATGTACAGCTGTCAGTGGAAGTCGGCCCTTGTTTTTGTGAGTGGCTGCAGTCCTTGGGGGCAAGCTTGCCAGGAAGTCGGGCAGTATGTATTTTAATGGCCCCATGTTAAAGCGCAAGTTCAAGATGACATACCATGACAAATGAGTCGTTGTAAGGACCCTCTCGTTTGGATCCGTGCCTGCTGTGAGCGAGTTTGCGAGACGATATCTCCTTAACAACCATGTCGGACCAAGCCGACTATAAACCCGGTGGCATCAGAGGCTGTACTTCCACACAAGAAAACGTGACCACGCCTTCGGTTTGTCTATGTTTGTCCACGTCTGTGCAACGCCACGTCGTTTGCTACACGGCTCTCGTCGTGTGACGGTATGAGTCTTTATCCTCACTTGTTACACCCTCCTTGAACCAGGTGTATTACATAGGCTTCGGTTTTTTCGCGATATGTCGAATTTTAACCGGCGCTCTCATCTGTTCGCATCTCCAACAGTTTCACGAACTTTCGAGTTTATCTAACTGGGTAACATCCAAGATCTCGTGGTCTCATGTTGAGTCTTCTCGTGGATAGTATCCATCTGGAATCTTCTTGTTAAACCGGCGTTCTTTGTAAATGCTATTCGCAGTTTCGTTTGCAATGACTCTTCTTTGACTGTCTTGCAGATTTCTGCAGCCCAGCGGCAAGTGAAGATTGCTTGATGGTGATGACGATGATGCTGATGCTTATCCACCTTGTTGAGTAATACGTGATTGTAATGTCGGTTGTGACATTGCAGTCTTTGATAGGAAAGTAGGGGGACCTAGGCGAAATTGGTTGTTCTACACGAACAAGTTCATCTAGGAAACATGCACGGCCCGGCCCTTTGCTCCTTATGCCAACACAACAGGCAAAATCAGTAAATATATGGGAACGCGGTCAACCGCCATTTTTAAAGCCGCCCCACGTGCCCACGGTCTCACCATCGTGCTCTGTCCATTTTTTGGGGGCACCTCTGTGCCCATTCGGGACAGTGGCCCCTATACTGGTCTTTAGAGTCGCTTGGTAAAGATGTGGAGGCCAGTATTGAGGGGCATTAGAGGAGTCCTCGCTTAATGGGTCCTGGTCGCATCGCCTCCTGAAAGTTTCGGGAACGGGCTCATATATGGAGTGGTCGAAGCGTGGTGGAAATATCTCAGGTTGTAGTGACTTTACTGGTTTCACTTGCCGGAGTATGTCTTCCAGCTTTAACACTCCCAGGAACCGGTTCCGGACGAAGACCCTGCTTATGCGGCTCGGCACGATATTTGCTTACATCGCACTTTTATGCTTCCGGTCCTAGGGATGGAAGCCCTCATGCTGATGATCCCACCCTAATGTCGCAAGATGTACTGTCGCGACGGTTTTGTCTGTGTGTGTGTGGGGGGGGGCTGTGCACATCAAGGCAAAGCCCACATGATGCGGCACAGAATGAGGCGGAAAGGATTCTCCGCCGGCTTTGCCCCGATATGTCGCAGGCAAGCTTATTTGCCAAGTTGGGCCTCTGCTCTCTCATTCTATCTTATCTCGCTCGCGCTCTCGAATTATTATTTTTGTTTTGCATTCTCTTGTTCTCTCTCCCTTGCTCCCGAGACGGAAAAAACCATACGGAAGCCCACCGACAGAATTAGCAGGCGAGCCTTCGACACCTGCGACAGGACGCCGCAATGCACCCTAGAGGGCTGGAGTCCCTATAGAGTCCTTGGAGGTTTGCTGAGTTGTCTCGAGCACGCATCCCGCTTGAGTGGTACAGGAGAGGATACAACAAGAATGCGACCTGGCAGCCCTTGACAAGGACAAACCGATCCCTATGCAAAAATGCAAGATGGCATAGTATAGCCTTGTTTCCCGGGGCTTTGACTTCTGTTAATGTGCTGCATCATACTAGTCTTTCGTGTCGCGAGTCGAGATCCAAACATGTGCCAGGAAGACTTGCAGCAGCTCGGCTTATCGATGGTGCAGCGTGCGCGTGTGCTCACCTGGTCCCGTGCCAAAAACTCGACGGGACCGGGCTCGCAACGGCAACGAGATGCCGCAGAGGAGGACGAGGATGCGCAGAAGGTGTCGCCGAAGTTTGAGTTCGAGCGGGAGCAGTCCGCATCAGAAGCAGAGGCAAGCTTTCGCCTCGACACCGTGGAGTCGGATGGCGACTTCTGGTGCGACTTGTGGAACACCTGGAGCTTGCAGGAGCCCAGTGGCGAGTGCCCGTGCATCTTCGATGCCACGCAGCTTGTCGGGCCTAGCCTTCACAACCGCCACGACGACGTCCGGGAGGATCTTTTGGAGTCGCTTTTCGATTTAAGTCCTGAGCGTATCTTCGAAGTCTTCCAGGCACACTCTTCCAGATATCACTTCCTAAAGACGGGCAGACAGCTCTCGAGTGCCTTGGGGGCTTATGGGCTTCCAGAACCAGCCAAGCCGATTCGGCAAAAGATAATATCCGCAGTTTGTCAGAACGCAGACTTGGGTCTTCAACTGCAAGAGTTTGAGGCCATCGTCTCTCGAACGATCTTGGCTCGCTTGGTGACGGGCCTGGAGCAACACTGTCAGGCCATTAAGTGCTTGAAGGTGACTGACTACAGCACACGCAGTATCGAGCCTGACACGCCAAAGTCACTGCCGGAGGATCAATGCAGGCGGTTTTTCTTCGGCCACAGATCAACACAAGCCGTGCATGGACAGTCTGCGGTGCGATGGGTGCACGTTACGGGGCTTGAGCTGTCCGTAGTCTTGGCTTTGGCTGTGAAGTACAGCTTGCACCCCCTCGCAGTTGAGGATACCATCCAGCAGAACCCTTGCAAGATTGATCGGTATGGAGATCACTATTTTGGCACCATCGAGCGCATATCCTTGACCCATCAAAGAAAGGAGCATGGACCAGTTGAGGTCCTGGGTCATCACGTATCTTTTTTCTGCTCTGGTGCTCCTAACATGGACACGGTCATCACCGTTTGTCAAGAGGATCAGTCTTTCGAGAAGGAGTGGCCTCATGCGGGCAACACCTTGGTGTCTACGACGCTACAACGGCCCGAGCTGAAGCTTATGAAGATCGAGAAGCGGCTGCGACAGCCCATGTCGCGGCTGCGAGAGCGGCGGGCCAACTTCTTCGTGCATGCGGTGCTGGATATCTGCGCCGACGAAATCAGTGATGTAGTGCGTGCTTTTGGCAATCGGCTGCAAGTCCTCGAACAGGATGCCAGCCAAGCGAACAGGGTAGATTCGGCGGGCGAGGAGGCTGCAACCATTCGCACGCAGCTGGCTCTTGTGGATCGCCGTGCCAAAAGCCTCCAGAGAGTCGTCCGGCGGCTGCTCTCCGACGAAGATTTCTCCGAAGGCCCATTGGGCCCTTGCAAGGCAAGCAATACTCGTAGGCCGATAGGCTCTTGCCTTGACTACGCTAGAAATATCCCAATAGACGCAGGAATGTTCAGCTACCTCAGCGATGTGGTGGATCACTTGGAAGAGGCACGAGATGACTCCGGCCGCCTTTCCGAAAAGTGCATGGGCACCTTGGAAGCAATGGCGCGACATAGCTGCATGGCGGCTTCTAAGGTGGACGGTTGGCCTCAGATGTGCGACTGTGCTCTGTCTCTCTCTCTCTCTCTCTCTCTGTCTCTCTCTCTCTCTCTCTCCCTCTCTTTCTCGCTCATGTTCTTGGTGGCCCTTCCCCTCACTTTGCATCCGAAACTACTCGTTGAATCAAGCGGCTGGGTTCAAGTGGAGTTACAGACTTGGAACTTACGCTAAGGCATCCAGCAAATGCACGATCGGTTGGCCGAACAAGAGCAAGACCAGCTGCTGAGGGATCAGGAGATGCTGCGAGCCCAGCAGGCAGATCGCCTGAACAACATCCTCTTCGTCTGCAGCTTACCATCGAAGAGCAGACAGCCCCAGCCTGGCTATGTCAAAGCAAGGGAAGATGGGAACCCATTTCCCATTCCACGCAGCTCAGGTTCTCACTTTGGTCACCACCATCTTTTGTCCAGCTCAGTTTCTGTGTGGCGTTTACGGCATGAACTTTGTAGATGACACTGGGCGCCCAGCAATCCCCGAGCTGCTCTGGAAGAATGGCTACCTCTACTTTTGGCTGCTCATTGTGGGCTACCTGAGCCTTGGCGGCTTCTGGCGGTCGGGGAAGGGGAAGGAGAGCGTAGAGCAATGATTTTTGGGGCCTTTAGGGTCTGCGGTCTTTAGGGTTTGGGGTTTTGGGAGCATCCAGTTCTCCAGTCCGCATCTGCGCAGCCGTGAGCTTGTCCCGCAAGGATCCTGGCTTTCGTCTCTGCGGCACATCTTTATCGCCGCTCGCAGGAAGGGACTGACGGATGGGCGTGGCATTCCACCAAGTGGAAATAGCGGCCAGGGTTCCATCAGAGTTGCATCTTCGTAGGTTCTGATGCCTGCTGCATGATGCATACTTTGTGCTGAGGCTTCTTCAAGTCCGTCGATGCCAAAGCTATCGATGCCGACTCTGTCAGTGCTGAGCAACAGCGAAGCCGTCACACTGTAGGACTCAGGAGGAGGAGGCCCATAATCACTAGCCAGCACCTTGTGCATGACGGCATCGTCAGCTTCTGTGCAAACTGCCTACAGAACTCTAGGGATAAGGCCGAGGCCACAGGCCTCCGAAAACTTGCAGGCAATACCACTCCCTCAGCTCTATGAGTCTCTTGGATGGTCCTGACCCGGAAGTTCCTGAAGGCCCTTTCGCCATGTGAAAAGCTCCAACCACTTGAGAATCTGCGCAGGTGCTCCGCATCCGCTTTGAGGGTATCGGCTTTGGGAAGAGCGTTCTTTCGACCGGCCTGGAAGAAGTCGGCGTTCCCTCAGTACTCAGTTCTGTACTGTGTGTGAAGGTCTCTCTGGCAAACAATATGTTTGTATATTCTTGTTTGATAACGGATTTGCACGTCGGACACACCTCTGTGTGCGACACACCCCGCGATGCCAAAGCACTGCATCGGTTAATGACAGTCGTTGTGCGACTGGTTTCGGGAAGACGAACTCAATGCTGGCCCCTTCGGAATCCCTTCACTTTATGTCTTCGAAGTGCATCATTCCGGCCGGTGTCTTTTGCGTAGAAGGCCAGCTTGAGTGTGAGACGGTCCCGGATAAGAGCGAGGCCCACCCTTGCCCTGCAAGGTGGAAAATGCTTGCACCGGGTAGCTGTGCTCACCGCTGCCAGCTCGATTAGACGTCAGATGGAATGCAAAAAAACGCGGTGCTTGCCATTGGGGTGTGCAGAAAGGCCGTTTCTCAAGCTTGAAGATGGCCTCTTCTCATGAATCCTGCAACTTGAGGTCCGGGATGCCTTCGTTGGAAGCTTGTGCCCTGGCAATAATTATATAGGAGTTCAGAGCCCAGGTGGGGGCCAGACGGGTTTTCTGTGCCTTGCGGGTGCGAGACAGCGGAAGTCTCTGAGGCAAGAAACACCTGGACACTGAGTCAGAAATGCAGTTCGAGGATCACATGTACGAATTTGTTTGCAGCCCCTTGCTCTGCACCTAGTCGGCCGTCCGGATTGTCGTCGTAGATGTGCTTCGTGGAGCTGTTGTCGCCAGTTTGCTACAGTACATTGTTCTGTGTTTTTGGATTGTCCCTGTCTCGTGGATGACAGCCAGGCCTCGCCAAGCTTCTCCCAGTTCAGAGTTCTGCTAGCAACTGCACACAACGCAGATCTCACAGGTTGTAAAGAAATCTCCGAATACAAGGGCGAAGCACTGCGGCAATGGCTCCTTGGCCGAAGCTGACAGTAGTTTCTCATCTAGACTTCTGGTGGTCCCGGGCTCTGCTTGAGATCCCTGGCAGCGCGTGCTCTGCAGCCAAGAGTCTGAGTCTTTGGTCTTCCAGAAGAAACTTTGCAAAGTCACCTCCACGAAAAGCTTGTTCCGGCAGACACACGCCACCAAGGATAGATGTTTATGTTGTCTGTCTGCGCCTTCGCTGCAGTCCGGCTGTGGAGCTTGTGTTTGGCTGTGGGTGCGAATCTGACCACAGAAGTTGTCATTCCCTCGTCCTCTACAGGAAGCATGTTCACCAATCGTAGTACTTTAAGGGTACCTCTTCATAGATGCACCGGGTGAAAAACATGTACTTCTATCAACCGCAGCGTCCAGGACAGCGAACTACAACAAATCTTTCGATAAATTGCATGCTCCTGTTTTTGCAAGTGTGAGGAAGAACCCTCCGGAGCTTCACAAAATCTTTTATGCCCGGGACTCAGCAGCAAGCGCAGCGCTGGCTCGGCTTGCTTCTGTTCCCAAAGGGTCCACACCTGAAATCTCTTTACGAACGTCGCAGTTCCCAAGAAATCTGAGCTTTCCGAAGTGTAGCTTCACAAAATAACGAGCGATTGTTGCCAGCAACTCTTGTTCAGCTACGTAATCCGGTTGCACATCATCAAGGGGGTGTCCTCTCCTTTGGAGCCGTGCCCGATGGAGCCTGATGTCACTGTGTTTAGCCGTTCCCGTTTCATGCAGTTTGCATTCCCTAATTCCCTAACATCCCAAAGCTCCTTCCTTTGAGCTGAAGCCTTCGGTGCCGTGTCAGGACATCAAAGAAGCAACGGAGCTGAAGTACGTAGGCGCGGCACCGCGAAACTCAGGATTGCTGATTTGGTGGATGAAGCTCAAACTAAGCTCCGTGACCCCGAGGAATGCATGGGGTTAGACATATTTATTGGTGTCTTCATTGACTTGAGGATTCCAGCTGCTCTCCTTGCAGGTGTTGGGGAGCTGGAGCAGGCCTACCAAAGTCAGCCCGGCCCCGATCGAAAGAAAGGTGGAAGAGTCCTCTGCCTCTGCAATGCCTCAGAGCCATAGTCTACATGCAAGAACCCAGGGATCCGAGCTTCGTGCGAGTCGCAGCACCGGACTATGCGCAACTCGGCCCTCATTCGAGCTCGCAGATTTGTGGGTATTAAGATGCCTGCGGTCCAGCACAAAAAATTGCTTGGGGTCCCTGGTGCGCGAGGAGAAGGCTATTCCACTTCCTGCACAAGAAGATCCGCGTGTACTTGGATATGTTGCCCAAAGTTGACTCCGATGAGGACGGTTGCCTGCGGCAATGTTTTGAGTGGTCACAACTCCACAGCCCAAGCCTTGAATCTCTCTTCAACATATAGTGAGTGGTAGTGGCAGGGTAGCCTGGGGCTTGCCAGCGCCGCAATGCCGCCAGTTTGAGAACTTAGTGCCAGGAGCGGCACAACAAAAAGGGCCAGCAGCTGCTGGACAGGATTGGAGATGTCTCCATGCTGAGCAGGGCGCAGGACCTCAATGCAGCTTGTCGCGGTCAGGGTATGGAAAAGGATGGAAAAGGCGTGTCGGCATGTTGATTGCAGCTGCGGCTGCACCGTAGCGTCAGCTGGTGACCAGGTAATCGTGGACCCATGCAGAAGAAACGAAGCCTACAATGAGCTGCTGGGTCTGCAGGTGTCATGAGAGCCTGTACAAGACTGTTTTCCTCCAGGGGTGAATGCGGCTTTGCTTTGTCCGAGGAGCGTGTGGCATCGTGCTGTTCATGCAACCTGGCCACAGCGGGCATGTGTAGTCTGCAAGGAGCTGCTCTACTTCTCTGTACGGGGGAACACTTCTTCGGGGAAACAACATGGGCACCGTAAACTCCTGTCTGAACTGGCTTGCAGCTGACAGAAGACCGAATCCGCGAGGGGAGAGAACTGCGCGGATCCCGGTCCGAGGTTTGGGTCTTCGACATTGAAGGCGGCCGCTTTCTCATCCAGCTTCTCGGTCATGAGCAGACTGTTGTCTGCCATAAGGCACCAGTGCTGGTGCGTCATTCGTTGATGTCAAAGCCGATCATGCCTGTCATGGCTTGGGACACGAGTTCTCCGAATCCAAACGTGAACATCAGTGCCTGAGTGATTTCTGAAATCGCCAACATCTAGCGCAGCAACCTCGCCCCAGGCCTGAGAACCGACATGAACCCACCGTCGTTGAAGCGGGACAAGGGGTTGTATGTCCGGGTTGCGGCGTGATTGTATGCCCCGGCCGCCCCAAGTGTTAGGTGGTACGCAAAACCTAAAACCCTGGCACAGTCTCAAGGCAACGCTCGCCTAAGAAGCGGCACTTCGGTGGCAAGTGGAACTGCTCCACGGGCCACATCAAAATGGGACCCTCGATTGCAGTAGTCTGCCTGATGGGGAATGGAACAGGAGCTCCGTGTCCCATCTAATGATAATGCTTAAGGCGATCCGGCTTTGCCGACGGCAATGAAATCTGCTCCTCTTCTCGAGATTCATTCCTGGTTTAAGTTTTAGTGTTGGTGCAGAAACGACTGAGCCTGTCCCAGCAGCTCTGTGTGAGAGCTTGAAGGATCCCGGGTCTTCGCAGAAGACCTTCTCTGTGCAGCCAGGTGAAGGACGATGTTGGCATTCAGGATGTTGAAGAGGCAGACTTCGAATACCTGTTCCAGGCAACCGCTGGCGCTTTGGGGTGCGGCTACAGATTGTGCTGCAGTGCAACTGCTCTATGATTTGGCCTATACGAAGCTCATTCGCGGACCGTCTTGGTGCAAAACAAGTCTAAACAGATCTATAGTCTTTGTTCAATCTTGGCCCATCGTGGCAGGGTTTCAATTCTGTTGTGTCGTCGTGCCTGCTCCCTGGGCCATGGTGTGGACAAGTGCTCCTGTGGCTCTCTCCAGCTGAGCTGGTGCGAATTTCAGGACCGATGCTGGGTGTAGGTTGAGAGTTGATTCCAGTAGCCTGTGAGAGCCAGCCCAGTGCCGCTAAAGTCACTTCACTATCAACAAATCGGGTCGACTTCTGGGATGTCTGGACTACTCGAGCCTGACAATTTCTTGAGACTCAAGTCACCCAGGCATGAATGAGGCACGTGCGATGCTCGATGCCCTCATGGGCCCTCAGCGAGACATGCGTGCCTTGGGCTTTCGTGATCATATCAAGCCAGCCCAAGCATCAATCATGTAAATGGCTCGTTGCTGGTCTTTAGTTCATCCTCCGGCCGGGCAATAACCTGTGACACTTGTGCATCTGTGTCCATGCCCGTGAGGCAAAAAAGGCAAACACTCGTCAGATGATTGGAAAGACAAGACTGCCTTGGTCCCAGCTTGCTGGGACCCCATCGGCCCGCACAAAAGTCACAAAAGCATGCGTTCCGCACTTCATACTCAAGTCTTGTGCGTTGATGGGCTTGTCCGCTTCTGGCCATCCAAGGTTTGCAAAAGCTTTTTGGTTGGATTGTGCCCCTACGACAAGGCTCCCATCTGAGCTGGCACAGCCCCCTCTCTCACCTCAGCAAGTCCTCATGCTGTCTGGGTCTTGTTTTTCTTTTACTAGTTGGTTTCTATTTCAAGGCTACATCGTCGGGGTGACTGGTAGAGGATGTTGTAAGGGTCATGTTCTGTTGTGGTGGTTGTAGGCATAAGCGTAGGTAATGGTACAAGGCAAGCATTGAACATCACATCCCCTGTTCCGTAGAGGCTTGAGGTCCAGACTGTGACAGTCGACGTTGTGACTCGATCTAGAAGATTCTGATGTAAGGCCGTGCTGGGTGGAATCCAGAAGCGCGACTTGAAGGTATGCCCGAAAATTCATTCCGACATCATCCGAGCGGCTTGTCTCGCCGGCAGTTGGCTCCATGAATTCCACCTGCTCGGTCACAGTATGCATACCAGGAAGTCTCCGGCAGGCCGACATGTTGCTTTTGCGCTTTTTTCGCCATGAGGACAGGTTTCTACAGCATGCAGATGGTGCGGAGCAGAGTGAGATTCGACTCGAATATGCCGCCTGGGCACGAAGAAGTCTGCACTGTTGCCAGCCTTGGAAGTCGAGCTGTTTCTAGCTATGGGAGAGGTTCTGAGTTCTCTCTTGTGGTACTTCCGCATACTGCCCAAGTTTCCCGCATCTGTAGCAACTTTGCTTACAGCGCCGTGCCACGAATGTGGCAAGTTTAGCTTCAGCACAAATCGGGGAGGGCAAACAACAGTGGCACAGGAGGACGAGTGCTTCAGTCAGTGCGAAGAGATTCTGGCAGAGCCTTGGACTGCAATGGCACCTTGCAGCTTTAGCTGCTCTGGCTGTCATGATTGGTTCGGCTATGCCTGCAGGGAATCACCTAACCAGAAGCCACCGGCAACCTCGCCCGAAATGCCCGAAGACCCAAAGCCCAAGCTCCAAGCTCTGAGCCTCAGCCGGCGAAGGAGTGTGAGACCTTCGGCCTGCAAGAGCTGGAGCGGCTAAAGGATGACCCCAGGCGGCGTGCTCTGCCGGAGGAGGTGAAGGAGAAGCTCAAGGTAATGAAGGAAGAGGCACCTCGAAAGCCTCGTTTTCTGAGAGTAAGGCGGCCCGGTTTACTCCAAATTCGTGGGCCACTCCATTCGATTCTTCTTTTGCAGCGAAGGCAGCTGAAGTGTAATGTGTCAAGTGGTGACGCGATTGCTGCACACAGGCGCCAACCAGCCGTTGCAAACAAAGGAATAGTATAAAGATGAATGAGCACGATGAAAACTCGCACTTGCCTGATATCAACATGGGCTCATCCATAAGTCTAGCCGTCCATGCTGTGGCAAATCCGACTGCATCCAATTTTGCGGGGTGACCTCAGATCGTGCATCGCTTCACCCTCCAGCACTTGTCTGTCCCCGTCGTCTAGTTTAGCAGTTTAGCAGCAACCCAACAATGCAGCTTGTTGAGAGCCCGCCGATTTCGAATCACACGACTTGATCCAGCGGAGTCCAAGCGGTGGCGCATCGTTTCGTCATCACTCGGGCAGCGCGTAGTCCCGCGTGGGGCTGTCGCAACCTTTGTTGTAGTTGTTGAAGGAACAGCCAGAGCATTGGACAAGCGGCAGATTTCCTATTCGTGGTGCTGGTGCTTGATCTGAAACTCTCCTACTGAGCATACTCTTCGCAGGCAGCTTTCAACTTGAAGCGAGCGGAAGACCTGGATGTACGACACTCGGATGGTGTGCTTGATATGAGTAGCCGACAGAAATCAGAAGCTGCAGCTGCTGGAGGCAATGGCACTTACCACCGGTGGATACAACAACATGTCGACACTTGGCTTGCAAAGTGCCCACCCAATGCGGAAAGTTTAATCTGGTCTTGTTCTAAGCTGAAAAAATCAGACTTTACCTCTTGGGGCTTTCCTAGCGATGGGAGTCACTTTCATTCATTCGGGAACTCTCGTTCGGATCTTGAGGCCCACCAGGAGCTTAATGCCTTCAGCGGTGTTTGCATCGGGTTTCCCTGGCCGAGATCCACTCTTCGCCGGCAAGTTCGGGAACTCAACGCAGAAGCCGAGTCGTTGCAAAGGCTTGAGCTGCAACTTGGCAGCAACAAATGCACAATCCTGCAGCACAGTTTGTTATGCAGATCGAATCTTCTGCAAGTGGCAGGAGGAACAGATAGCCAGGAATGAAGTCGGTCAGCTTGCGTGTGCTTGTGTTAATAATATAGAAACTTCCCCCGAGGCGCAAAGCTGCAGAGAAGCTGAAGCCACAGGTCTGCGAGCTGTGCGGAACGGGCTACCTCGACCAGGAAGAGTACGAAGCGCATCTGAACTTTCGTGTGCATGAAGGTACTTCTTGCACTTGTCTGAGGTGGACTGTCAAGACATCACACCGTTTTGTGCATTCGTGCCTGCAGGCTACAAGCAGGTTCGTGACAAGTTTGAGGAGCTGGAGAAAAAGCGGGCGCAGCGACCCCACAAGCCCAAGGCACCTAAACGCAATAGCTCTGCAAGGGTCCCCTCGCTGCATTCCCTCTCTGACGCAGCAAGGCCCGGGCATCAAGTCAGCCGAGCACGACACGAGATGCCCCGAAGCAAGTCCCTCGACTGCGAGAATTGCACTGCAGACCGGTTTGATCCGGGCATGGGGATGGTGTGCTTGCTGTATCTGACAATGACTTGCTGCCGTGTTGTCCTGCTGGTATCTGATACTTCTACACGTAGATTATGTAGATTTCTCTCGTTGGGCAGGAAGCAGCCGTAGCTTCAGCATGTTCATCCCAACCATACAGCGCCTGCATGTATCGCGAATTCGTCGTCTGCACATGCTCCAGCACCGCGAATGCATCAATGGAGCCCAGGATGACCGCAAGACTTCGGAACTCGAAGAAAGGTTGAGGCCGGCGGCGGAACGCCACAAGCAGGCAGACGAGGAGGCCCACAGAAGTTCCAAAATGACGTCTGCTTGAAGTCCCGGATTTGCCAGGCAATTTTCACTTTGAAATGAACATTGGAAACGGACTTTGCGCACAGCACACGGCAATCTTTGAAGGAAAAGACGACAAAGTCTCGACAAAAGATCCATATCGTTGACGCCTCTCGGCTGGCTTTCCATATTCTCATGCGTCTCCTTGCGCGAGCAGCAGATGTTGCTAATCTACGAATGTACTCATCTGTGCGTCATGCCAGAGAAAAGAGCTTTTATCTGAAACTTGAACGCATGGACTCACCGAGGCGAACGATAGTCGGAAGAGACGGAGACGGACCAACAGCCGCAGCAGACATGATCGCAGGGATAGTGGCCTGCCACAAGAGACAGACGGACCAAGTTGATGTTGGTTGTGGTTGTGGTTGCTTTTGTTGTTGTCGCTGTCTTAGCCTTTGTCTTTGTCTTCGTCTTCGTCGTCGTCGTTGTTGTTGTTGTTGTTGTTGTGGTGGTTGTGCTGATGGGGGCGGGTGTGGGTGTGGTTATTGTTCTTAGTGTTGTTATCGTTGATCTTCTTGTTGCTGTTGCTGTTGTTGTTGCTGCTGGTGGTGGTGGTGGTGGTGGCGGCGGCGACGGTGGGTGTGATGATGGTGGTGATGATGATGATGATGGCAGTTGTGACGGTAGTGGTCGTTCATTGTGTGTTTCCATTCTCTCTGATGTCATTGTCTCTGTTGATGTTCATCTTCCGGCTATGCGAGGTATGCTGAGCAGCCATGAATTGTCTTTTTGGTACATCGTAATAGCACAACTCAATTAGTACAACACCGCTTGAATTGTTTCCTTCTTCTTGAGTGTTTTGGACTTGGTGCAGGCACGTTGAGGATGTTCAAGAAAGGCTTCCGGCTTTGCGTGATAGATCTGGGGTAGGATGTCGGGTCGAGATACCAGTGTCGAGATTCGGATCCGCTTCGGGAGTGGCTCGCAGCCTCCCTGTACAGGCAGGTCTTCTTGCCGCACGATTGGTTGAAGTCAAGCTGCACGCCCCAACTAGGGAGCCTTTGGATCCTGCCGTCCTGAATTAATTAGCGAAGCATCCAAATCTCCCAATGGTCTGCAAGCAAGGCTTCCACAATTATCATGTGCTTCGCGGAGGAGCCCGACAACCTGAGGCCCAGCTGGTGCGCTGAGTGATTTGAGCTTTGGTTAGGTTAACACCTTGAAGCCACTGGGGACTGGTGTTAAGCGTCAACTCGCCATTGGCCGCCCGCCTCCACGAGTCACTAAACGAACAAGTTCCTGCTATGGGCCCAGACTTCCGTCGCGAAGACATGCAGTTAATACAAGGAAACATACAAGGCCTTGAAATCAGCAACTTAGCTGTTTGGAACCTAGTTCGAGAATGTATTGACCAGGGGACTTCGCTTTTCGCAGGAATCTGGACCCGTCGCTCCACCACATGTTCTGCGACCACGATGATGCCCGCTCCAGCATGTGTGGCACTCGGCGGTCAAAGCTCACAACCTTGGCCATGATCTGCAACATCAAACGTGTCCTTGCAGTGCGTCGTCCTCTTCCCGCTCCTCGCGAGCCTCTATCGATCCGCGGCAGCTGCGTGCAACTCCGATGCTGGAGATGCAAGGCCTTTCCACATTTTGGGGATGAGGGCTTCCAAACTGGAGGACATGAGGGACATGCAGGGACGAAGAAATTACATGTCGAGCATCGCACAATTTCCAAACCGGACAGACCACAAGCGCTGACAACCACAAACCACCACGTGCCCACACGATATGTCAAAGCTGGATTTCTGCCGACGTGCAAAACAAGCGTTCCGACATGCAAAAAAGTTTCCGCCGACATGCCAAACGTATGCGCCGGCATGCTAAAAGTGCACCGACATACCAAAGAAAGGGTTTCTGCCGACATACCAAAATTACGCGCCATAAACAACGCGCCGACATGCCAACATTAGAATGCGCCGAGATGGAAAAGACACGTGCAGTTAAATGGCCTAGAAAGGTTCCGATGAGGGGCTCAAGGAATTCAGGAGGAATAACCCAGAGGGAGTTGGGGGAATTTGAAAGTGTGTACTTCCCCAGACAGGGTCCTCTCCTCGGAAGAAGAAGGAACGCGCCTGGCGAGATGGGTGGAAGGCGGCTCTGGAGCTGGGGGCCCGCGGGCGGGTTTGGATGGGTGAGCGGGATGGGTGGAAGGCCCGCATGGATGTGTGGAACGTGGCTCTGGAGCTGGGGTTCTGGCGGTTTTGGATGGGCGGAACGCGGCTTTCTGGAGCTCGGGGCTCGAATGGATGTATGGGTGGAACGGCTCTGGAGCTCATCTCCTCCCCTTCATGCGAGCTTTTCGTGGGGAAGACGGTTTTTACCACCCTTTGCAATCCGCCCGGAAGGCTCCCCTCCCTCCCGATGGGTTTCCTCCACCCCGAAATATGGTCACAAGTTAGTTGAGCTGTTTTATCCAAACTACTTATAACCTGAGCTTTTGCGCATGGATCCAAGAAAAGCCCTAACAAATCTGCTGGTTACATATCTTTTGAAGTCGACAGGGCCTGGCAAGATGTTTGGTCACAAGATTCAGAAGGCCTGTTGCAAATTGGCTTCAAAATGCGCATCAAATACCTTCGCAGTAGTGGAGAATCGGATTTAACTCCCCAATACTGAGAGGATGTTTGAAGCCATTTTTGGGCCGGCTTCAACAGGGCTTCAATCATGATTCCCAATACTGGGACGGACTTTGAAGCCGCGGGGACTCGGGATATTGAATGAAATTACTAAGTAGAAGAGAAACCATGAGGAATCGTGTTGGACCAGCAGCTGGACACGCGATGCAGCCAGCAGAGCTTTAGTCCGCAACTCGATTTGGGTTCGGGGACTGGGACCCGAACCCAATCGAGCTCCCGAAGCCTCCGAACCCAAGCCTAACTGCATGTTCCAAGGCCGGCTAAACCGTTTGGCCTTGGTTTCACCACACCCGGAGCTCAAGTGCACCCGAAAGTCGTCATGCAAGTGTTTGATTTTGGTGCCCATCCCGACGCTTTAATTGAGCTCTCGAAGCCACCGACCAAGCCCAAATGCATTTCCAAAGCCCCAAACGCATGCGGCCGTCGGTGTCCCTAAACTGTCTTGCAAATGCTGTAGTTTGGTTTGCAGGGCTTCAACATGCATTTTTCAGGGCTTGGAACACATATTTAAGGCTGTTTCAGCTTTGCTGGTGTTCTTGGCCCCAGTCCACGAACCCAAATCGAGCTCCCGAAGCCTCCGACCAAGCCTAAATGCATTTCCCAAATTCAACAAATCTAGAGCTCAACGCCGTCCCTAAACCTCAACATGTAGTAGTGAGACGCTCTAGTTTTGGATTTGTCTGTCAAGTGGCTGAACAGGTTTTTGAACGGAAGTGGCTCAAATTTCGAAGCGACCTGAACCTGCAGTAATGGGCCGACAGCTGTCTGAGAGCAAAGTAGTAGTTTTCTGGCTTTAGATGCATTCTTGCATGGTTTAAGCCCTGATCCATTGGCAGGACACCATAGCAAACCGTGCATTCTAGCCCGTCTCTCCTATCTTTACGTTTTATGTCCATGCTGTTTGGGGTCTTCGTCGGCACTAATTTGAAAAAAAAAGGGTCCGCCGACATGCCAAAAGTACGCGCCGACGTGCAAAAAACACGTGCCGGCAGGCAAAAAGGCGCCGACACAGAAAAGCAACGCTTCGAGATGGAAAAGATGCGCCGGCATGCAAAAAACATGCGCCGAGATCGAAATATGCTCGCTGACAGAGTTAAATAGAAAAGAGGTTACTATGAACACAAGGAATTCTGGAGGACTAAATTAGAGACAGTTGGGGGCATGGAAGTCACTCTTGAAACAGGACCCGCCGACATGCCAAAAGTACGCACCGACATGCAGAAAATAGGCGCCGACGTGGCAAAAACTTGGGCTGCCGCCGACATGCCACAAAACGTGCCGACATGCCAAAAACAGCGCCGACATGTAAAAAACACGCGCCGACATGCCAAAAGCACACACCGACATGCCAAAATACGCGCCGACATGTCAAAACCGCGCAGAGAATATCTCGGGATGTTTCTGTTCCATCTCTTGGCACGTTTTTGTCATGTCGGCATGCCCGATCCCGCATCAAACTGAGCTGCAATCAAAAGTTAATTATGCTTTTTCCCCGTATGCACAATGTGAAACCTGTGTCACGGAGTGGACAGGGCTTCTCGTGCCGAGCTTCCGGGCCAGAACTCCAGAGACTGCACAAGATCTGAGCGTGAAAAGTCCAGTGGGACTCTTTCATAACTCCGTGAGATGAGTTGCGGCTACGTTCGAAGACCTCCCATGCACTGTTTTGAGACTGGCTTGGGCCAGGAGTTCGCCAGCTGCAGGTAACGGTGCCACAAGGCCTCGCAGCTGTGATTGTATGTCCCTGGACTTCGGCGAAGACCCCGTACCAAGTGTAGACTCTGAAGCCAGCATCTGTGTGGCCGGAAAGGTGTCAGTGCTGGCCAGATGGTACAAGTTCAAACTCCGGACGCCAGGCCGCAGAGTTCAGGGCTTCCGGATGCGGGTCTGAAAAAGGCTTTGGCTTCTCGGAGAAAGTGTGAGACTGTGATCTCTTGGCGCTAATTATTTGGGAGCCACCTGACACAAGCGCCACAGCAGCGGGCATGAGCCGGTAGCTCCTGGCCCATCTGCCGAGGAAGGACAGATGCTTCAGGCCAGGCCGGGTGTCGGCGGGCGTTCTCCAGGAGGGCATCCTTTGCATGGAAGGGCTTCAGGGATCTTCAGGGTTCAAGTCCGGGGTATCGGAAGCGCAAGGCGTCAGAGCAGAGTTCAAGATCTTAGTCTCGGGTCGAGCACGAGGTTGCGCAAACGTTTGGTCCAGGCATTGAAGCAGCAGTGAGTGCTGCCGAGTCCTGCCGGATGAGCCTCCCGTTGCACCTGCATCTCGTGTGCAGGGGACTGCAGCCTGAGTCCTCAAGCCACATTGCCCCTCAACAATCTGAGGTTTTTTGGTGTCATTCTTACAGTCATGTCTTATTGGGAGCTTGGTACTTCTACTCAGCGGTACCGCATCCTATCCTGTGGGCAGGTGCAGGTGCCTGCCGGCTATGGCCCGGGCAGGGCTCTCAGGGCTCCGGCAATACTCCGTGGGGAAGTAAACCTACAGGATCGGACTTCCTAAGTAGTCATGTCTGCAACAAGGGGCTCATATCGAGACTGTTTTAACTTGTGGCAGGAGGCCACATGTGAAAGGGACCCTTCCGATGCTCATGATGCAGCTCGAAGCGGGGTCGAATTATTTGCATATGTTGCCAGCTTCAGTGCTTGGCCTGCACGTCGTCCCCTCTGC